CCATTGAGCCAAACGGGCTAGGACAAAAAATTCCATTCTTGAGCCCTAAATATAGTAAGCTCCCCTTTATTAAATTGTTTTACACCATCATTTGGTCAGATTAAAGGATTTTAAGATTCTTGCAGGTAAATTCAATGCATGCATTAGGTTTCCTTTATCTGTAAGAGATACCAGAACTCCCATAATGCCTAGGAGCAGAGCCCCTTGGTATGACTGGAGCATTTCCTGTTTAACAGTCTGCCTTATCTAATAGTTTTTCCAGCTTCAAGGCAGCAGATCACCTGAATCCTAGTGCTTTCAAAGCAGCCTCACAATTGATGCCTAGGAAGCAGACAGAGTTAGCAAGCCAGTTCTCAGAGAGGGACTATTAATAAGCTTTAATAAAGAAAAGTTCAAACGCAGGCAGAAGAAGGAAAAAGAAAATGACCCAGATGGAAGGTCTGAGATGTAAGAAGGAATTATGCACAAATGAAGCAGCATAGGTATATCTGAGCAAAAATCACTTGAATAAAATGATTAATAATGTACAACTTTTAGGGTTAAAAAAGAGAGGCCTAAAATACTGGATAACCATGGACTATATATTGGGAGGAGGATGATCAGAATAAGAGTATTCTAAGGTTCTAATATGATTCATGAGGAGAGTAAAATGATTAATTTTTGAAATGGAAAAGTATTCATGCTAATATATTTAAGATAAGCAATGAAAAAACAGATGGAGAGTATAAGTTACGAGTAGTTATACTCTCCTAAGTTAACATTGGAGAATAACAGCAACAAAAAACCACCCTCAATTAATTTAAATCTTTCACAAGAAAGGAGAAAAAAGGAACAGATAGATCAAAATAAGATGGTAGAGTTCAATCCAAATATGTCAGTAATCACAAGTGAAATCCCTCAGTTAAAAGACAAAGATGGTCAGATGGAAAAGATGATAAAGTCCAGCTATCTATATGAAGCACACCTAAAGCACAAGGATTCAGAAATATTATAATTCAAAGAAGAGAAACTACATAGTAGGCAAAAACTAAAGAAATGTGGCATAACCATATTAATACCAGACAAAATAGACAAGAAGGCAAAAAAAAAAAGGTAGTCACTACATAATAATAAAGTTTTAAATCACCAGAAAAATGTGGTAATTAAAACTTGTTTATACCCAATAATAAAGCAATAATTAAACTACGCGGAAAAAACTCAACAAATCTACCATGTTTAGAATTGAATAAATATTGTGTGCGAAAAGTTGTAGTATATAGCTCAAGTATATTATTAGATGCTTCTATTAGAAAAGAAGAAAAGGTCAAAATTAATGACCTAAGCATAGAGAAATGAGCAGTTAGAAAAAGAAGACTAAAAAATAGGTAGATGAAAGGAAATAATAAATGTAGAAGCAGAAATTAATGAGGCAAAAGCAATCACAATTTAGAGTATTGACCAAGGCAAACATTTTCTGAATAGCTTAATGAAACTGACAAACCCTCTGCTAAGGTTAATCAATAAAAGCCCTGCCTGGGTGGCTTAGTCAGTTGGAGTATTGTCCCATACACAAAAAGGTTGCAGGTTCAATTCCTGGTTGGGGCATGTATGAGAGGCAACCGATCGATGTTTCTCTCTCTTCTCTTCTCTCTTCTCTCTTCTCTCCTCTTCTCTCTTCTTCTCTCTTCTTCTTCTTCTTCTTCTTCTTTTTTTTTTTAAATATATTTTATTGATTTTTTACAGAGAGGAAGGGAGAGAGATAGAGAGTTAGAAACATCGATGAGAGAGAAACATCGATCAGCTGCCTCCTGCACATCTCCTACTGGGGATGTGCCCGCAACCCAGGTACATGCCCTTGACCGGAATCGAACCCGGGACCCCTCAGTCCGCAGGCCGACGCTCTATCCACTGAGCCAAACCGGTTTCGGCTCTTCTTCTTCTTCTTCTTCTTCTTCTTCTTCTTCTTCTTCTTCTCTCTCTCTCTCTCTCTCTCTCTCTCTCTCTCTCTCCCTCTCTCTCTCCCTCTCCCTCTCCCTCTCCCTCTCCCTCCTCCCTCTCTCCCTCTCTCCCTCTCTCCCTCCCTCAAGTCAATAAAAACATATACTTATACCCTTACCATACAATTTAGCAATTCTACACATAGGTCCTTACCCAACTTAAATGAAAACCTATCTTCACACAAAAATATGCACACTAATGTTTATTTGCCAAAACCCACAAACAATCCAAATTTCCCTGTACTAGAGAATGGATAAACAAAGTGTGGTGCAGCCATACAAATGGAATACTGGGCAGTAATACAAGGAATGAACAACTGACACAGACAATAATAGTGATGAATTTCAAATGCATTGTGTCAAGTAAAAGAAGTTAGACTCAAAGGCTACATATGATATGATTTCACATACATGGTAGGACAAGCAAAATTTGAGGGGCAGAAAACAAATCAGAGGTTTCCAGGAATTGGGGACTGGGAGTGGTGTTACATACAAAGAGATGTGGGGGGAATTTATTGGTGTGATAGAACTGTTCTAAACCTTGACTGTGTTGATAGTTATGTGACTGAATAGGTTTGCCAAAACTCATAGAACACTATACACAGTATACTAAAATGAGTAAATTTTACTGTATCTTAATTTTATCTTTAATTAAAAAAAATCCCCATTTTCTCCAAAAAATTGTCCCATGGAAAAAATATCTCATGGGCAAGGAGAACAGTAATTGCTGAGGGGTGGGGGGTGGGGGGTGGGGAGAGGTAAAGGTATGGAGGGATAAATGGTGATGGACAGAGACTTGACTTGGGTGGTGAACACACAATACAGTGTACAGATGATGTGTTGTGGAACTGTGCACCTGAAATCTGTATAATTTTGTTAACCAGTGTCACCCCAATAAATTCAATAAAAAGGGAAAAATCTCAGAGAACATTATACACACTACACATGAGTAAATTTTTACTGTATCTTAATTTTACCTTAATAAAAAAATCCCCATCCCCCCCAAAAAAATTGTCCTATGGAAAAAAAATATCATGGACCATGGGCCCAGATGCCAGATGACAATTTCACAGCTACCTAAGATTGTGTCTTTGTTACTTTAACCCCTTCCCTGCTAGGCCGGGCCCTGGATAAGGAAATACAGTAGCTAGGAAGTAGTGATGAGCTGAAAAGTGAAAAAAAGAACCTGACTTCACCCCACCACCAGCCTTGCTCTCCCTGCCACTTGGGATTGCAGTCAGAAACAGACCCAGACGAAGGGAGAGGAGAAACTATATACTGTGTAAGAATGTGGAGATTTGCTTACTACACTGAGCTGGACATTTAGTTGCTAAAATGAGACTGTCCCTGTGACTGAGAAGTCAGAAAAGCTATGAGATTGGTCTGAATTCAAATAGGGGTGTGAAAAGAATTAGCCTACAGAGGGGATCTGAAGGAACAGTGAGAAAAAATAAAGTGACTTTTGATGATCACCTCCCTATCGAGCAGTGTTCTCAACCTTCTGGCCCTTTAAATACAGTTCCTCATGTTGTGGTGACCCCCAACCATAAAATTATTTTCGTTGCTACTTCATAACTGTAATGTTGCTACTGTTATGAATCATAATGTAAATATCTGATATGCAGGATGGTCTTAGGTGACCCCTGTGAAAGGGTCGTTTGACCACCAAAGGGGTCGCGACCCACAGGTTGAGAACCGCTGCTATAGAGTCTAGTTTGTTTAGTACAATGGTTACATATGCAATCAGTATGCTAATTGCAAGTGACTGTTATCCAATCCCTATATGAACTAAATAGGGATCTCCTTGTGTTCCCAAACAAGTGAAATACTCTTTTTTAAATGAGCATTTTTATTTTTTATTTTTATTGATTTCAGAGAGGAAGGGAGAGTGAGAGATAGAAACATCAATGATGAGAATCATTGATAGGCTGCCTCCTGCACGCCCCCTACTGAGGTTCAAGCCCGAAACCTGGACATGTGCTCTTGACCAGAATCAAACCTGGACCCTTCAGTCTGCAGGCCGACTCTTTATCACTGAGCCAAACCAGCTAGGGCTGAGATAGAATATTACAGCTTAATAGAATATCAGATAATGGGCCCTCGCCTAGCTGGTTTGGCTCAGAGGATAGAGCATGGGCCTGTGGACTGAAGAGTCCTGGGTTTGCCCTGACCAGTTTGGCTCAGTGGATAGAGCGTCGGCCTGTGGACTGAAGGGTCCCAGGTTTGATTCCAGTCAAGGGCATGTACCTTGGTTGTGGGCACTTCCCCAGTGGGGGGTGTGCAGGAGGCAGCTCATCGATGTTTCTCTCTCATCGATGTTTCTAACTCTCTATCCCTCTCCCTTCCTCTCTGTAAAAAATCAATAAAATATATTTTTTAAAAAAAAGAGTCCTGGGTTCCATTCCAGTCAAGGGCACATGCCCAGGGTTGTGGACTTGATCCCCAGTAGGGGGTGTATAGGAGGCAGCCAATCAATGATCCTCTCTCATCATTGGTGTTTCTATCTCTCTCTCCCTTCCTCTCTGAAATCAATAAAAATATATATTTAAAAAAAGAAAATGGGCCCTATTTCCAAATGAGCCAGTATCAAAACGTATTTCCTGGGAAGTGAACTGGAACCACTGTACAAGCATAAGCAGCAGGAAGGTGCGATTCTATAGTCTTGCAAGGACACCAAAGGACATAAGATCCCCTGGCAGGGAAATTTGTGCTAGAACAGTGCCTGGTACAGAGGAGGAAACATTTGTTGAGTGACTGAATGATTGGAACTCCAAGATGCAAATAGGAAGATGAGAAAGAGATGGCTTTTTCCCCTCCAGGCTTAAACTGAAAATTAAAAAAAAATACTATCATAATGATTTTATAGAAATAGCTCTCGGAACCTATGACAGTAGGTTGAGTCCCAGCTTAGTAAGGGTACTGAGTACCACCTAAAGTCAGCTAGTGGACAGTGAATGGGCCGTGGTGACCAAGTAACTATAATTGGAAATCTCTCTTTCTACATGAAAACAAACGGGAAGAAAATTTTGTTTCAGTTCTCCATGGAGAGTATTTTTATTTGTTTATATTCTTCTTGCATACTCTAAAATGCACAGTGTGAATTTCCTTTCCTCAGAAACAGAGGTGAGGCTGGTCCATTTCGCTGAGATCTTCAGAAGGTCTTCGGAAATGTTGCCTTAGGTTTGAGCTAAGCAAGTCACAGGGATTGGTCACGAACGACTACAAAATTACAGGAGATCTAGTTATTATCCAACAGTTACTAGAAAAGCATTGGGCACACTGACATACAGCCAGACAGAGAGGGTAACAGAAGAGCAGATGCTGTGTAAGTGATGGGATTTCCATATATACGGCTCTATGTACAGTATCAGAATTCTCTTACAGACAGTGAACTTAGGCTTAAATCATTTAAGGGCACTCTTATATAAGTACAAGTCTCACTCATTTTAATCTTTTCTCTTTGGCTCACAAATGCACGAAAATACCATGAACAGTTTTCAGAACTTACTGCATTTATATATAAATAAGATACATTACGAATGGGAAGAAAATACAAGACACCTCTTTAACATGGTAAATCTCTGAATATAAATAAGCAAATATCTCATATACCTACAATTAAACAGTCATTTAGATCATTACATGTGTTTTTCCTCCGCCCCAAGGTCAGACAACAGAGATATGCACAATCTACACAAATGAATTTCTAAAAATACAGCAACAGCACACCTGGAACAATGACTCTGCTACTATTTTTCCTTAACCAGATACTAATGGGGAGGGTGTGACTCTTGTCACCGAGCGGTGCTTTTTCTCATCCGTCATCACTTTAGGTGGGGAAAACAATGACACAAGGTCAACTCCTGCTCACAGGATTTCCCTTGGTCCCTACAACACAACATCTGGAGGAACATCTTTCCTGGGGTTGTTGGGCGAGCTGGTTTGCAGCATATTTGGCCCGTCAGGTAAAGTTAATTGTCTTGGAGTAGGAACATGCTGTGATCTATTACTAACATCCACTCGCTATACATACATACATATATATATATAGAGAGAGGTATATATAACTGTACATATATACTGTGTTCCTAATGTGCAACTTTTTAAAAAGAACATTATTTCCTGCTAACTATCACAAGCTTAAGTAAGGGTTTAACAGTATTCAAGATAATATATTTTCCCTCAGTGAAATGGCCTATTGTTTTAGCAACTTGCCGAGGAGGCTCTAGCGTGCCAGAGGGGAACGGGAATCCCCATGGCCTCGTGTTCTACGGGCGGCTACAGATCCTGGCCCAGTCTCTCGATCTCCTCAATGAGGAAGTCGATGTCAGACTGGGTGGCGGCCGGGTTCGAGATGACCATCCGGAAGAAGTTGGCCTTGTCCCCCTGAGGCTGGTAGCCAACCATGGTCGTGCCAGACTCCATCATCAGGGCTTTGATTTTGGGAGCCACCTTGTGATGGAAACAAAACGAAACTCAAGGCTGATATTAACACCACTCTTCTTACCAGTGCAACCAGTTTCTTGGCTGGGAATAAAGGAGCAGTTTGCTTTTCACCCTTTGTGTTTACACTGACATAAAGACAAAGAAATATTTTATATCTCGGTTTCTTCAGTGGCTAAGATCTAATGACCATTCGCGTCTACCCAGTCATACATTCCCTCAGAAATTTTGAAAGTCAGTCATAGAGCAATGATAATAAAATCAAAATAAAAAACAAACAAAAAAACCTCTTATGGGCAACTACACAAATTAAGGCTTCTGTATAATCCAGAGCCCAAGATCCTGCCTGGCACACAGACTGGCACAGATGAGTATTTGTTGAATGGCTGGATGGTTGGTATATAAAAGAAATATACCAACAAGTATCAATCATATGCAAACTAGATATAGAATCAACAACCAGAATGAATCAGCATTAGAGTAGCCTTGAATTTAGCAGCAGATATGGTAACAGACATAGTTGAATATGGACGTTCCTACGAATATGCATAGGATTCAATTGCCCTGCATACGGCCCCTTCTCGATGAAGAACACCAACCTCAGACAGGAATACGGAGGTTCCTGTTGTATCTGAACCACAGCAAGGGGACAACCCAGACCCAAGTAGAATGTAACAGGATGGCTCCCCACCAGCCCAAGTCTTTAATTTTATTTCTCCCCCATTAGAAGGCACATTAGAGTAAGGCTATTCCGACCCACCAGAGAAATGCAAAGGGTGAGATGAGGCAAAGCAGAGAGCCGTACCTTGTGGAGTCTTTCCCGCCGCTCAGGGCTGTCCGGCATGCTCCGGAGGCTTTGTGGGATGTACCAGAAACAGACATTTGTGTGCTCAGGCTGCAGAGATGTTCGCAAACAAGCAAACATACAAACAAAACAGAAATTGTGAGAACTTGAGAGAAGGCTTCTGCCAAACCCCTATGGGCCTGTGGTGGAATTCTCCCCAACCAGAAAAACCCACCAAAAAACAAAACAAGAAAAAGCAGTGAAATGTTAAAAAATAATTACATTTGGGTAGTTTTAAGAAAGGGTACTATCCATTTGCCATTTTGTAGTGCCTCATATCTCAAAGATGCTCAAAACACTATTTTATTGATAAGTGAATGTTTTTTTGAGCTTACTATACTGATACTGAATCTTTTCTTGATGACTCAGGGTTATCATAAAGAACATTAATACTGGTTCTAACCTGTAAGACAGGGCTAACTGTGATGCCTAGAACTCTTTAGTGTCCCTCCCTTAAAGACTCCTATGCTTTTCAGTTCTTCCATATTCTTGCTACAGTTTTTCAGTTTCCTTCCTAGTTGCTGTTTGCCGTCATTGTGCCTGCCTCTGACTGGCTTGAGACATCACATTTGTCTTAAAGCGGCTAACAGAATATTTAAAATAGTGTAAATGATCAGAGTGAGGTCGCATGGGTGAAGGGCATGAGCACTGTCCCGTTGATTTGAACTGCTCAGATCCCCCTCCCCCATGCCGACAGGCCTCTTTCTTCCTCATTTGGTGATGCGCCGGCGTGCTCCTATTCGTCTAGACTGCCTAATAAATTGGCTAAGCTGAATGTAGGTGGTGTTATATTATATTGGGCTATGAGTGGATTTTCTTTTATTCAACACTGGCTCCTATTCAGCGATGGAAACGTTCTTTAGCCAATTGCCAGCTCCGTTAGGGCAGCAACAGTATATTTTTTGGTCACTGCTATATAACTCAGCTCCTGGCATGGGGCATCCAATTCACGAGGAGCCAAACTTTCACACAGCGGGCACTCAGTACTTCATTATGTACCATGTAGATATGAACTCAGGGCAGACACGATTGTACCTTGCTCTCCTCATAATGAATCTATGTAAAGTAGAACTTCACTTTAGAACCTGTCTTGGGAATCAAGCAAATACCCATCCTATAAGCTTCTTGGAACTGAGAAATAATCTATATATATAAAAGGCTAAGCTGACTCGCACATGCGCGATACATATAAAGCTCTCACTGGCGCCAATTGCATGCGTGTGTTTCGATCTGTCACGGTTGATCGTGAATTTGGTTGATGCTTCTATTATAGAGAAAGGGCAAATAGTGATATTAAAATATTTCTTCTAGCCCTAACCAGTTTGGCTCAGTGGATAGAGCGTCGGCCTGTGGACTGAAAGGTCCCAGGTTCAATTCCGGTCAAGGGCATTTACCTTGGTTGCAGGCACATCCCCAGTAGGAGGTGTGCAGGAGGCAGCTGATTGATGTTTCTAACTCTCTATCCATCTCCCTTCCTCTCTGTAAAAAAATCAATAAAACATATTTAAAAAAATTTCTTCTAATTAATTTCCTTTCAATGTACACGAATCCGTGCACCGGAACATTAGTTTATGATAAAGGATTCAGACCTGCCAAGGAAAGACCTCTTGTCTGCAAAGAGGTGAAGGGGAAAAGTCATCCCAACACTACTGGAAGAAAAGTTCATGGACACAGAGAGAATTAAATGAATAGTGCATGAGAATGATAATTCTGAAACAGCTTTTAACAATGTTAGAAAATATGGTTTTAGGAGCTTCCCTCGACAGATTTTCTAGTCCATGATGACAACTAGTCCATGATGACAACTTACCTCACCATTGAAAACCATCTCAAATTCTTCTCTGTTTTTAATTTTGGCATAGAGGTATTCAGCCAGTTCCAAGCATTTGTTGATCTGATTTTCAAATCCCACTGTTCCCTGAAAGAAAAATCGAGTTTATTGGTGAGAGGTTGTATTTCCACTGGTAATGGGCATTTGAGAAGGCCATGCTGTCCTTGTCTACTGGAAATGGACATGAGACTATCCTCGGAGATGGACAGGAAGCAGCATCTGACTGTGCACAGCCTCTTCGCAGCTCAAGCGAAGTGTGCCTGCTCTCTTTCGAAGGCTCTCTAGTCTCTGGGCAGTAATTCTCAACAGGGCTCTTAGCTCCTGCTAGTTATTCACAGCCTGGACCTGAAGTCTATTTTCTGGTTTGCTTTATGATACTGCTACTCAGTTTATAAACTGTAACCGGCCCATGATAAAATGAGTACAGAAATTGAGATTTCGCAATAAGAAACTTTTATAGCAATGTGACAGAATAATTTCAATGTCTACTGAATCTAATTTTAAAAATTGGCGTTTATACCTTGGATGTTTTTCATTTCGTTTTTTTTCTAGCAATTCATCTCTATTGTAACTGGCTCTTCACCACAGTTTGAGAAGCATTGCTTTAGACCCACCCTCCCCAGCAGTGAGTCCTGGTCACAACATGTCCCCACGCTCCCAGGCAGGCTACCTTCCACAGCACAGAATCATCCTTTGTGCTGACAGGCAGGCAGATGGGGAAGCCACTGGTCTCAGTACATGCCCTAGATTGCAATAGCTCCAACTATTGACGAACTGGTTGAGCATGAGTTTCAAAAGCCAGCATGGCTGATTAATAACAGCAGTGTGGAGGCTGTTCAGCGGGTCAGTGTTAACAAGAGCAGATGCACAGGCTGGCTTGTGGATTGCTAATGGGCCTGGGCGAGGTCCAACACTGGCAAAGCAGCAGTCACTGCTAGGCGTACACCCTGGCCAGGCCACTTTCCACTTGGGAAGCAAGCCTGCACCAGGGGCCCCCCCTCAGCAACCGATTCACAAGGAGCCAAACTTCCAGCAGATGGCTCAAGGGGTTATTTTTAGGTAAAACAAATAAGCAAATTACTGAGACAGTGTGGTTATTATATTTCTAAATGATAGGGCTCTTTCTCTTGTTGCTTATGGCTATTTGTATGTTTAAAATACTTATAATTTCTTTGTGGTAGACATAAAATTCAGACTACTTATATATTAAGACACAATGGCCACATCAGGGGGAAAAACTAAGAATCTTGTCAAATTCTTCCTACAGAGGAAATACGTGACTAGATATTTCACTGGAAAGCCTTGTTTTGGTATTAGGTAGACCCAATCTTAAATCATGGAAGTTAGTAAAGTTAATTTACAGTAGGTAAATAAAAATTATAGATACAGTATACAGCTGTAAAATAAAAATTGCCTTTTCTTGATTGCATAAAAGCACTTTTGAAACAAATAGTTAAACAGTAATCCTCTCCCCTTACCCATATTTTGGGGGAAATTCCAATAGTTTGCTTTTTTTAAATATATATATAGACACAGAAATGTAACCTGAATGGCTGATGAGTGCAGATCCTGCATTCAGTCTAGCAGTAGGATTTCTTGGAATAAGTATGTATTTTCCAGAATAGTGTATCGAGTACAAATAATGAGAAAGCCATATTTAAACAGATCTTAAAACTGTTCTGCTTTGCCCTAGCTGGTTTGGCTCAGTGGATAGAGTGTTGGCCTATGGACTGAAGGGTCCCAGGTTCGATTCTGGTCAAAGGCACATATCCAGGTTTCGGGCTCAATCCCCAGTGGGGGACGTGCAGGAGGCAGCTAATCAATGATTCTCTCTAATCACTGATGTTTCTATCTCTCTTCCTCTGTGAAAATCAATAATAAAAAAACCCAAAATTGTTCTGTTTTGTTCATTTGTTTTGATATGTTCATTGAATATATCCCATGATTGGAGACCTTATAAAGGCATTCAGGGTTCTGTTCACATCAATGCAGTAATTTTATCTTTATCTCTTTCTATATCTACACTAAATAACTTCAGCATCCCTAAGGATTGCTGTCGAAGTCTTTATCTTAGCATCATTTTTAGTTGTTATAAGAGAAAGTTATAAAAAAAACTTCATGCTAATTCAAACTGAGGAGATTGAATGGAGGAAGGGAGAATTTGACATGAGAAAGACAGTGACTTCATTCGCAAAAAAAATACAGTTAACTCAATTATCTGGATATTGATTGAACACATAGTGAGTTATCTGTGATACAATTTTGCCTCTCTTTTGCCAGTCTGTGCAAATTACATTTCTGCTCTATTTCCTGAATTCCCTTTTTCTTACCTTTGCTTTCCACATCAGCCAGAACTTGAAAATGTCCACGTGACGGCCACACTGAATTGCCTTGTCCCCGGTGTCATAGGAGACATCATATTGCTTGTCTGGCTGGAAGAGGTAGCCTGCACACATCTGGTTGCATCCTTGGAGTATCCCCTATCATGCAATTCAAGACAGGCATGAATCTGTACCCGCAGGTCAGAGATGTGGTGGCTTTGGAGCGGGGCTGGCAGGACTAGGGGTCACAGGCATCCTTTCTGATGTCTTATGAGCTCTTGCACTTGTTCTCTCGTCCTTCTCTAAAACCACTCTTGGGAAAACCTTCGGCCCTTTCCCTCTGTCACTCTCATTAGAAAATAATCTTTCATCTCAGATGCCAACCCAAGGACCCCACTGTCCCTCTAAGGGACATTTGGAAATACGTGTGGGTGTTTTGGGTTGTTTCAAAGTCTGGGAAGTGCTATGGCATTCAGTGGGCAGGGGATAGAAACTTCCTGCAGTGGGTGGACAGTCTCATGTTGGGAAGAACGTTCCTCCCCAAAAGCATCCCCTAGAAAGTCCTCTGATCTTTTCCAGGATGTGCTATGCCAGGGGTGGGCAAACTTTTTGACTCGAGGGCCACAATGGGTTCTTAAACTGGACCGGAGGGCCGGAACAAAAGCATGGATGGAGTGTTTGTGTGAACTAATATAAATTCAAAGTAAACATCATTACATAAAAGGGTACGGTCTTTTTTTTTTTTTTTTAGTTTTATTCATTTCAAACTGGCCGTAGTTTGCCCACGGCTGTGCTATGCAGTTAGAGGCTCTCTGAGGGGTGGAGTAAAGCGCGCATGCGGGTTCTGGCTCCTAGAGGTTGGGGACAGATTCTTTGGGTTGCCTCAGTGTGCAAAAATTTCCCTTCAAGGGCAGGCTGCTGTTATCAGATGCTTCTGGAAAGGAATCCGCTACTAACTCATTTACAGAAGCTTTTGGTCAACAGTCCTCATTACTCCGAGTTGACATTTGTAAATATGTAAAGGTCATCTGTATCTCAGCTCCTGAGGCCACAAATTCAAGCTAAGAATTTCAAGAATGTTCCAGTGACCACTTTGTTGCCCTCACTCAGGTTCCAATTGCTCTCACTTTGTTTGTATAAACATGAAGGAATGTGAAATGAAATAATGCCCTTAGAGTTCCTGTCACTGACAGGGCCCTGAGCCCTGAACAAGGAAGGACAGTGGAAGGCAGGAGCCTAGAGGAGGCAGGAGATTAGCTGAAGACTAACAGATAAAGGCAGGGAAGAGCAGCAATGGCGGTCCTCACGGGGCAGTCATCGTGTGAGCTTGTCACCGAGTACTGTATCAAGACCCCATGCCTTTCTCTTCTTGTGCCTTCTAAACTTTAATAAAGGGTGTGCAGGCCACCAGCTCATCTCTGGAGGGAGTACAGACCTTCTCCTTGACGAGGATGGCGGAGCACTGCAGCAGCACGCCCATCATCTTGTGAGGGTTCCAGGTCACCGAGCTGGCCCTGCAAGAAGCATGTGACACTCTGAGAAGGTGCAGGCATCAGCAAGAGACTGTCCTCTTAAGGAAAACACCACCCTAGGCAGCCCACGTTTTCGACGCCTAGTGGTAAACAACTGTTTTGCAGGCAGTCTCAGGGACTAAGGGGCAGATTCCCTCTTCTAAACAACTCCTATTCATAACGGCTAACGTTCGTGAAGAACTTGCTGCGTGTCCTATTACCGTGGGAGCTTTGCAGGCGTTATGCCAGTGTGGTGTCATGGTTCGAAACTCCGGACTTCGGAGCCAAACTGTCCGAATCTGAATCCTGGCTCTGATATTTGCTAGTTTGGGCAAGTTACATAACTCCTCTGTGCCTCAGTTTCCTCATCTGTAAAATGGGGGGTATGTGTCACAGAATTGAAGGAGAAAATGAGTTAATAAATACATATTGCTAATAACTGTGCCTGGAATACTTAATTCTCATAACAACCCTATGATGTAAGAACTACTGTCTATTTTAGATGGAGAAACTAAGGCACAAATAGGTTAAATACATCACCCAAAAGCACAGAGCTAGGAAGTGTTGGAGCCAAGATTCAAGTCCAGGGAGTCTAATTGCACAGCCAGTGTTCCTAACCCTTCTGCAGCCTGCCTCCCTCTCAGCCACAGACTCTGGCTGCTTCAGCCTTTGGTTCTTATTTATAAAATGGGCTGGCCATGCTGATCTACCTACTTATGAGGTAGTGAGTGGAGTGACACTTAAAAGCAAGGATCAATTAGGCAGCCCCAGACTTTGACTATGTAGCAGCTTTGTTCAAATGCTAAATGAACATGACATTGCCAGTTTAGGCCGCAATGATAGCTTAACAAGCATGGTCTCCTAGCAACCGCATCACTCTGTTAGTGAGCAGCACACTAGCTAGGACATTACGGAAAGGACTAAGTATACTGTATGATGACTACAACTTGGGTAACTCGCTTCGGTGGTTTACAGACTCCTTCCCTATGGCCTGGCCCACAGCTGGGCTCTGAGACGCTTTCATATGTTAAGGATGTTCTCCCCAAACAGAGCAATTGGCTCCGAAATACACTGACTCTCTCCCTACAGCAGTGGTTCTTAACCTTCCTAATGCTGTGACCCTTTAATACAGTTCCTCATGTGGTGACCCCCAATTTCATTGTTACAAATTGAACATAATTAAAGCATAGTGATTAATCACAAAAACAATATGTAATTACATATGTGTTTTCCGATGGTCTTAGGCAACCCCTGTGAAAGGGTCGTTTGACCCCCGAAGGGGTCGCGACCCACAGGTTGAGAACCGCTGCCCTAGAGCTAACACTTGCTGTGAATTTTTAACCTCTCCATCTTGCCTAGGTCCTTTAGAGGGAAAAGGGTGTATATGTGTGACGATAGGGTGTGCGCTGTGTTTCAAAGATAAGAGAGAAAGGCCTGAGGTCCTGTTGTTCTAAGTGGGTAAGAAAGAAAACCTTTGAGAAAGAGACCCATGAGAAGTTCTAAGGAAAGTTGACGAAGTGCTTATCTCATTAAAATGCATCAGTGAGTCAAGCCATATTTAATCAATTTTCTCATAGCTCTCCTCCCTGAGCCATTCAAAATTATATTTAGACTTCATAAAATGCCTTAAATTAAGTGGTTTTTTGAGTGTCCTAAAGGTCTGAAGTAAATGACTCTTTGCTGCTACAAATGGAAAATAATAAGACATGATATGGATTCAATTTCCTTCAGAAGACATACATGCTCTAAAACGTTAGATAAGAAAAAGGCTAGTGAAAAATGTTCCTACGCTCAAGGATGGAAAATAAAAATTGCCAGATAAACCTAAAGTACAGTTGGACTGGTTCTTCTATATTTAATATATTATCCTCCAAGTTACAGAGTCAAGGAACTATGCTGCAAAGAGTCCGTCCCGGTCACTTTGACACTGGCCCAGAAGGGAAGCGGCACAGCACAGGTCACAGAACCTCTGTGAGAGAAGCCACTGGTGCGCTCTCCCTGGTGCCGCTCCCAGTCCGCGCTCTAGCCTTGTCTGCTCTCACCTGGCACTTTGCTCCAACCTCACTGGCCTCGTTGATGGTCCTCCAACTTGCCAAGAACATTCCTGCTCAGGGCCTTTGCACCTGCCCTTCTCACCTTTCTTCTTCGTATCCTTGCTTCCTGTCTCCCTTTATCTGCTGAAATGTCACCTCCTCAGAAAGGCCTCTGACTACACTGCCTCGAACAGCATGCCTTGTCCCTCCCTGTTATTTAACTGTTTTATTTTTTCCCTCTGAGATAGATGAAGTATCTTTGTTTATGAACATCCAGCCCCTGGAACATAAGCTTCAGGAGGGTAAACCTCTCATTTGATAACACGTTCCATATGTTGCCGTGTTTTCCTACGTGTAGCAGATACACACTTTTTAGGAAAGTGCCATGCATGGCTAGACTAGAGGCAGGCAACCAGATATTCACATCCATGTCTTCCTGGCTCATGGTAAGTGCTCAATAAGTATTTGCTGAATCAATGGGATCAACTGGGATCAATACATTGGCATCAGGTCAAAATCACACTCAGCTGAGCACACCCACCAAACTTGAATGGTGACTGAGAAAATACATACGTTGGATGAGCCAAGTGTCCCACCCTTCTCGCAGCGGTAAGCTCAATGAGAAAGAAGAGTGAAATGTACCCTTGTAAATTCTCATTTCGCCTCCAAACTCCCCACTGCTTGGTTCCTCGTCTTCTACCCGAGCACCTAGCAATCACATTCATTGTGCTTATCACATTGGGTTATAACTATTTGTTTACTTGTCTCTCTCTCTCTAAGTTATAAACTCATTGAGGTGAGGACTCATTTGACTGAGAAATCAATCATAGCTGATCTCCCAGTGCCTGGCACACCATCATTGCTCAATAAATCTCTATTGAGCAAAACTGAGCTCAGTCAGATTGAAGTAAGATGTTGGAGACATGAGCAGACTCAGCGGCACAGCATGTCTGATGGCCCGAATGGGAGGAGGCCCAAACTCTGGCCCTTACCTTTCTATGCCACTGAGTTTATGACGGTGCTTCCTGGACATGAGCAGCCCACCGCCCCAGGCAGCCTGTGAGGACAGAGAAAGGAGAGGGAGGGGGAGCCATGACATTGAAGAATCCAAACCAGTCACTCCACACCTCTACTAAAACATGAGAAAGTAAATGGTGAAAAACATGAGCTTCTCTGACAAAAGGAACCCACACTGATCGTTCAACCAGTGGCAGTTGTAATTCATCATTTGTCAGGTCTTCAAAAGTTCCTCCAGCTTAAAGTCGGAGTAGCTCTGAGGGACACAGGTAAACCTGGTCTGAGCCTGTGGTGCCAAGACCCAAAGGCCTAGAGCACGCCGGAAGGGCAGAGACACTCTGTGAGCCCCAGGGTGGCTCTGGGAGGGACACAGACTGGCGCCTGCCATCAGATCCTGCCCCTGGTAGGAGTCTAAGGGCTTCTGCAAACTCAGAAAGCAGCAGCCCTGCCGGGCTGGGACGTCCCACCGCAGCTCCTGCAGCATGAAGACCTTTTGTGGGTACCCTGGTGCGTGAGTTTACTGAATAGCTTGGGACACAGCCTTTGTCAGTCATTTGTTCAATAGTAACGCAGATTATCCAACTGTCCAGTTGTGAGAAGTTATATCCATAAGAGAATGGAGCGAGGAAAAAAGAAAAAAATACACTCAGTCATGCATGTGAACAATGTACCTTTTGTGCTCCTGGGAAAACTTGGGACTACATCTCTTCGCTGATAACGCCTTCCATATACTGTCTTACTTTTTCCTATAGCTACCAGATATGCGATATGCATTTTTTTTTTTTTAGAAAAGTGTGTCATAGATGGCCGACTGAAGGCAGCTAGCAGATTCATGGCCACTTTCTTCATTGTATCTTACGTTTTTTCCCTCTGAAATCAGTTATATTTCCCTCTGCAGCTATGTGTCCAGACAAAAGCTACCTGGGAAGGCGATAGAGACCATATTCTAAAATGAATCCCAGGAGATAGCAACTGGGGGTGGATGAATCCCAGAGGATGCACAGGCCTGTGGTGTGTCCAGTGGTGAACGTCGGCTCGGAGCCAGAGAGGAGGGAACTAATGTGGTGTGGAGAGAGAGCCAGCTGGGCAGTGGGAGAAGCTTGAGGCAAATCACAAAGCAGAACCGCGTCCACCCCTATGGGCTGGGCCACACTGTGAGTTACAGCACTTACATCGACATGCAGCCAAAGGTTATATTTCTCACATATATCTGCAATCTCCTGTATCGGATCAAAGGCTCCATAAACAGTCGTGCCAGCAGTTGCATTGACGTAAAGAGGAACATATCCCTGTAAGGCAAGAGGGACAGGCTGATTAGTCTCTTTAACCTCTCTCCTTTCCACAGGAGGTAGATGAATTGCAGTAGCATTTATTCACAGATCGGCTGTGGTATCAGACACTCTATCTGGCAGTTCTTCGTTGGTACATTTACTCATTCATTCATTTATTCAACATATAGTTTTTCAGCGATGTTTTTGTGCCAAGCCCTGTTGTAGACGCAGGGAACACAGCAGTGAGCAAAAGAGACGAAGATTTTTGTCCCCGTGGAGGTTACGTTCTAGTGGACAGTGACAGAGGGCAAACAAAATCAAATAAGCAAAATACACAGTCTGATATTGATAAGGTCTATGGCAGCGGTTCTCAAGCTGTGGGTCGTGACCCCTTTGGTGGTCGAACGACCCTTTCACAGGGGTCGCCTACGACCATCCTGCATATCAGATATTTACATTACGATTCATAACAGTAGCAAAATTACAGTTATGAAGTAGCAACGAAAATAATTTTATGGTTGGGTCACAACATGAGGAACTGTATTTAAAGGGCCAGAAGGTTGAGAACCACTGGTCTATGGTGAACAATAAAGCAGGGAAGAGAAATAACAAGTTTAAAGTGTTAGGCAGGTAGTTCTGAATAGCATCTGGACACTGTACAGTTGAGAAGCTGTGTTATTCTAAGTGTACTGATGTAATAATAACACCGAAGCACTGCTTGGTTATTTAAAGCCAGTCTATACACTGTTTCACTAATAGCGGACGTGGTAAAATGTGTTGAAGTGAACAAGAAATAAACAAGGAAGTGGCGTCAGAGAGACTGGAGGAAACCTGTGAGTCCTACGTGTTATTGAAGCTCAGCTCCACCTCTACTCCTTGCTCAGTCCTAGTGACATTTCCATCCATCCCCTACCGAAACCCCAGCAAACAACTACAGTCAGAGAAGGAGGCACAAGAATGTAACCAAAACAATGAGTTGGGAAATGGTTTGACAGCTATCTGGCACTGCCTTGTGGATACATCTGTTCTATGAGATTTTGTTTTGTTTGTTTAATAGACTTGACTGAGGCCGATTCACCAAGTATCATGGTCCACCTGGCAGGGCATGGAAGTACTTTGTTAAACGAAATCCTAAGCTAAAATGATACTTGTTTAAATGAGATTATACCTAAGAAGTAAGTGAAAACCACAATAGGCTGTATCTTTGTGGTGCTTGGGTAGTGGATTTATTGAAGTACATGAAACCAATCATTTGGCACAATTAAGATAGGACAAGAGGTTTAATGTCTGAAATTTTCATTTTTCAAAAAAACCCATATGGTACAGACACAGCGTTAAAGCCAAATCATCTCACAAGTTGGAAATAAATAAATATCTAAGAATAGAATTTTAGAAACACAATAAAATAATATCTTATACTATCAAAGATTTTTACTGTCTACCGCAGAGAGAAGGTATTTTTAAAAATTTGTATTCGCCAGAGTTTAGATGTACCCTAGAGTATATACCTTTTGCTTGGCTTCAAGAATTTTTGCCTCTAAATCAGCAGGAATTATCTTCCCCCTGTAATTGTTATAAAAGGAGAGAAATGAAAATGAAAAATCAATGAGACTGCACATGAAAAAAACTTCAGCCGCAGCAAAAAGTAATTTAATCGGATATTTTCAACAGACCATTAGCAGCTTGGCACACTGTACTGAGTCAGTCCTTAAGCACAATAAAACAAATTTAACAGATGAACACATTTCATACATCAAGAACCTAATAGTCACTCTCCCCTGCCTACCTTTCATTGCACTTTATCAAAATCACATTGTCGGTTCCAAAGCCAAGCGCAGCCCCAGCCTTTTTTATGGAGTAGTGGCTCTGCAACAAACAGAGGCTCGAGGTTAGATGTGCGACAGTCCCGTGGAAAACACCACAATCCACGGGCAAGAGCACCTGACTCACATGTTCTGAGGTGAAGAGGACCAGGTTGGGCACGGCCGCCATGCCCTTTGTCTTAACTTCTGGGAAGTACTTGTAGCGCGCTGCCATGATGCTGTACATGTTGGATATGGCTCCCCCTATCGGCAAGCAGACACATTGGGTGGTGTTGCAGCTCCTTCGTTATTGTTTCTAACAGCAAAGGCTAAGCCGGTGTCTCAAGAGACAAGGGAGGTCAGAAAGGGGGAAGGACAATATTCTGATAGGATTTGATGGCTTCCCTATTGCCAGGGCTTCCCTCCGGACCCTTTGCCCAGGGAATATAGTGGTCACACTCCTTACCAAAGCCATCTAGGCAATTTGGTTGGAGGTGCATCACATACTCCAGTGCCTGCCCCACCTGAAGCCTAGACAGAAATATAAGAGGTGGCCGTGGCTGTAAAGAGAGAGGCGAGTTACAACTTCCCTGCTTCTGCTCTCTGCTCAATCTATTTACTGAATGAAGATTAATTTGTTCTCTGAGTCAGAAAGACAGAGAAAGAGAGAATTATGGAGCCTACTGAAGGAAATGGTGACATTGCCTGGATACTCTTCCAAGAACAGCCCAACTGAGTCATTTGGGAGAGCTCTAAGTTGATGAAAATAAAACCAAACTTGTGTTTACTTAAATAAAGACACAAGGAGAAGTCAGGTAGCTAGGTACATCTGGCCAACACAAACGAATTGCTTTTGCATCAATTACCTGACAATTAAACAGGCAAATTGGTGGTTCGCTTGAATTGCCTGGACAAGTGTAATTCTTATTACTTTTCCACTTGAATACAATCACACTGTATCTGACACCATCCCAAACTCCTTCCTACCTTCCTTCCTGTCCTTGTTTTTAAAATTTTTATTGTATCCTTTGAACTAGAGATCAAAGTAGATAAACTATTTTGGCAGAAATTGATTAGTCAGTTGACAACCTTGATTTATTTATCCTCAGCTTAATCAAACCATTGTTGACAAACGAATTATTTAGCATAATTTAGACACAATCTTTCTCAGTTTGGACAGGTTTAGGCACTGCTTTTGTTGGTTAGTATACACAGAAGGTAGCATTGTTGCTAGCCTTCACCCTGACAAAGATAGAAAGGCAGAGTATCCAAAAAAAAAAAAAAAAAGAAATCTTTAAAAGTCATTATTCTTCCCTGTGGTAACTATTCTCAAAAGGGTCCTAAGGATCCATACTACAAACCTGTAGGAGAGTCTGGGAAACAGAACAGAAACTTACCAGGAGAAAATATCCCATCACCATCTTTATTTGACCATCCAACTATCTCTCTCATCTTCTTAAGCGTTATTTGCTCCATGAGGACAAACACTGGAGCAATTTCATAAGTAAACCTGGAACAGTGGTAAAAAAATGAATGAAAATAAAGAAGTCAACCACTTATTTGAATAACACAGATGACTGTTTTAATATTTGTACTTGGGATCTAAGAAAAAAAAAAAGAGGTTCAAAACCACTAAAACAATTCATTTCCTGGGAATGCATTAGGTCACCAATCATAAAATGTCAGAAACCAGTCTGTGTTACCAAAAGAGGTGGTTGAAGTGCCTGCCCTATGATTTTTCACCAACAAAATATATTCTTATCTAAATGGAATGTCTTTAGTGTGGTTCACCCAGAGAAAAAGAATGAAAGAAAATTACTTTTCTGGGTTCCTTTCTCCTCTGAGATTGTAGCATGATGCAAATATTAATTGAAAAAAATGTATCCTAACATTCATATAAAATTGATTTGCAACATTAAAAAAAGACACACCTTGACTGCCAATTTCACACTTGTAGAATCTATAAAGCCCAGAGCCAAACTCTATCTTTTAAAAAACAACGTAAACATCTGGAAGCTAACTGTGAAGATAATTGGAAATATTGACCCAGGTTTTAAAGATCTCAATTTAATTACCTACATGGTTTTTCTACTGAGAACACCCAAGGACAGCTACGTTTCCATAGTTCTCTGAAGTTGATATCGGTCAAGAATAATTATAAGCGATGATTTTCTAATTACCAATTATAAATAACAAGAAGATGGTCAATTGGCATAAACAGCTAACTATGGGCATTAGATATCCTGGTAGGTTAGCTTTGTCTTCTAACAAACTGATTTAAAAGCAGCAGGCCATGCTCTTCTCAAAGCAATTCAAAACAGGGCACGGTCTGGCAGACAAGTCATTGAAACAAGATCATGGTGCCAAGTATAGGACTTAGGAGACATCCAAGAAGGTGCATCCACAGAAAATTGAGCCAGAAAACAAAAAGACATTTATCGGCTCTGAGGCTCTCTGTCTTTCTTCCTTTGGATTGACCCTCTCAAGCACTGGAGTCTGTGACCATGCTCACTGAAGAGAGATGCCTAGATTGACTCAGCTGAGTGATAGGGGAAACTTAATCATTGGGTAGGGTGTTTGAGCTGAATGCCAATGCTGAGAACTAATGGAAATTCTTACTGGCTTAATGATTTAGAAAAGCTATTTGCAAGGATGAGATAACAATGGTTGCATATAAGACACAGGTGAAGCTACTAAGTTTTAATCATGGAGAAAAAAGCCATCAAATTAATCACACAGCTGTAAAAGAGAACAAAAAGATCCTGGAGGACCCTCAGGCTATATCTGTTGGTAGAAGAATTTTGTTTCCAAAATAAAAAGAATATGTCTATTTTCCTTAGTAGGAACTTGAAATTTAGGAGGAAGACCCTTGGAAATCATGTGTTCCGTTACCATCACCTCTGGAGTTCACAATCATGCTTTGGTTCTCTCTGAGCCCCATCACCGTAGCAACCAACACTCCCTCATGTCTGATGGCCTGATAAAGGAAGAAGAAGAGAAGGATTCCTGGTTTAGCCTGTGCTGCTGAGTGTACCAAGAGTCAAACTCATGATGTGCTCACCATTCTTGAACAAATGTGCTAATAGTGCCATTGACTTTTGGAAATGTTGGCATAGCAATCATGTTTGCATGGTGAATAGGTACTGGTGGCATTGTGTGTGTTGGAATGTCACAATAGGCAAGGAACATGGAATCATATACAATAGTATCAGAGCCTTACCGAGGATTGGATGGAAGCTGAGTTGGAATCAAGTCAGTGTTAGATGGTCAGGCAGGAACCACATGGGGAAGGGAGAAGGGAGGGGCTGAAGGCCGGGGTTTGGTCCACTTCATGATTTGTATCAATTTAGGCCCCCGGTTTAGTCTTAGAATTCGTCTTCCTACTCAAGGACCAGGAAGGAACAAGACCACTACTCTCAGGACTGGAAGAAAAAGAGTCTAGAGAGTTTGATCATGAGACTATCTGATCTTATCCTTTTCAGGTTCCTTATTTGTGCCAGGTTCTCAATTCAGAAACCTTTCTTTCGGTTCTGTTCAACAAATGCTTACTGAATGACTATTCTCTGCCAGGTAGCATCTTCCGTACTGAGGAGACAAATGTGTTATAAGACACCACTCCCAACCTTGAGGAAGAAGCTTACGAGGATGAATCCAGCATAGGTTCTTGGCCTTAGATGCATCCTGTTTGACAGTTCCTGCCTGGGTCTTAAGGACCAGTTATTTCATAGCTACTATCATGCTAATCTTGATTATTAGTCCTGATGTCCTCTCTTAGAAGTACTAGTAGATAGGTTGGCTCACGACTGTTGATCCTCAGCCAGGCCTGTCAAATGGGCTGACATGGTGCTCCCTGTTTCTGACATTTCTGTGACCCTACCTTCCCACTGGGCCATCTTTACAACTGGTTGTCTGCCTGCACCCAAAACCTTATAGAAGGCCTTGAAGTTCACCCTTCAGCAGTGATTCTTAACTTAATTGGGGCCACAGACCCCTTTAGGACTCCTCGGAAAGCCATAGCCCCTCTTCCCAGGAAGAAAATGAGGACACACATCATTTGATATACAATTGTAGGAGACACCCCTCTTGCAACCTGGACTCCAGGTTAGGTACCCCTTCCCTAAATGACAGATGAAAGAAGAGAAAGTCGAGATATCAGAGGTCAAATATGGATTCAGAAGAAGCTGGTTAGATGCTACAGTTAGAGTACAAGATCATATTTCAGAATCAGAGAACAAGAAACTAAACCTGCAAAAAGCTCTGAGTTGAAGCATAAGAACATGAGATTGGAAGTAAGGATGTAGAACAGTCATGGATGACACTGAAGGAGACTTCTAGGCTTTTCTACATTCTGAGTAGAGTAGTGAGTCAGCCCTTTTTGTGTGGCTCAACTCACCTTCCCAGAGGGATTCACTCAGAACCCAGGTAAATTGCTTAAGAAGCTACATTTCTCTGTGGCAGAATCTGCTGGTTGCTAACCAGTATCAATCTTCTCTTGCTTCATTCCATTTCATTTGGGATGACAATTCACCCAGATCAGAGACTACACTTCCTAGCCTCCCTAGTGTGGCTATGGGGCTAAGTTCTGGCTAAAGAGAAGCTGTGGGAAATGTGTGGCACTTACAAAGTTTCTTGGAAGGAAAGAGTGTGTTCCCCTTTGACCCTTCCTCCTTCTCTCCCTCTCCTTCCATCCTCCCTGAGGTCTGAAGCAGGGATGCAATACCAGAGCTCCAGCAGCCAGCCTGCGCCATCGTGTGACTGACTCTGAGGACATGAGCCACGTGCTACAATAGGGATGAAAAAGGCACAAGGAATCCAGATCCCTGGTGACTGCCAAATTGGAAACTTCTTTAGTGAGAGAAAGAAATAACTCTCTACGTTGACCATCTTGACACTCCTCTTAGATCTCCCCTCCTTACAGCGGTGGCAGGTGGCCTATCTTCACCTTCAGAGCAAACACATCTGGGAGGAGCTTAGTGAGCCCTCTGGTGTCCAGAGAGGATGAGAGACAGAAACAAAAGAGCCGAAAAGCTGAAGGGAGGGTCTTGAATGACAACAGCACCTGCAGGGTGGACTTCCTTTCCTCAGTGTGTGCCTGTGCCCTGCACCTTGGATACACGGGGCACTGAATCTGGTGCCATTTTCAGTTTTCAGAACCACCCTCTAGGATGGGTATTATTATCCCCCACTTTCCCGAAGAAGAAAATGAGGTTCAGAGAAATTCAGCGACTTGCTTTAAGCTCTCACAGTTAGTTTCAGAGTCAGAATCCCCAGTCCTTTGTATCACATCTGCTTTTGTATGACAAACAAGAACGGCTTCCTGCAGGCTCTCACACTCTGCCCAGTGTTAAATGACTGATAACTCCCCTAGAAAATTCCTCCTGCGTAATTTCTATGAAAACAGAGCACTAGATAATTGAAATCCTAGCCTCAGAACAAAGGGCTGGGATAGGTCTCCCCATAAAGATTATGTATGGTGCTCAGTTACTTGTGGGCAGGCTGCTGTGTACACGTGGGCACAAGTCGACCTGCACTGTTGTGGTTGGTGACCCTGTTTTTGGAAGGAGAGAGTTGTATGTGTACATTTGTGAAGTTTTCTTTGGATCTTCACTGGGTCCTCGCTTGGAAGAATACAACTCCAAGATATATGCACAGGCAAGTATAAATGCATCCACATAAATGTGCTTTTTATTCCAGCAGCCTGATACCTCACACTTTGTCACTTGCATTTGGATATTGGACATTTCTTTTAAAAAGACTATGCTGAGGAATACAGTCACTATTTCCTATTACCAGTGCTACCCACACTTAATGATAGCACGGTAAAAAAAAATGAGTATATCACTAATTCCTACTCTGCCAAAGAAAGAGCCTTTTGCTCTTCTTTCTCAGGCTGATTTGGACACTGTTCCCAGTTGGAGGAGAAACTGTCACAGGGAGCACATTTCTGCATAAGCTCCCGACAGCGCTGCTACATTTCATGATCTTCCAGGGGAACTGGCTTAGAATAATTTCTAGATAATAGTTATGCCTTCTTCAGACAATGCCTTGTCTCCAACTGACAGAAGCTATTTCACTCTTTTAAATAACCTTCTCTATCGATCTGTTGGAATCGGATCATATTTTATAAATATCCTTTGTTCAGTACAGCTGCAATTACTATGTGCCATGTGGTTGGACTGGCCTTGACCTCAGATGGCTGGGACATATTTTAGTGTTTCATGGCTGAGCTGCACTAAGGGAAGAATAAGGGGCTTTGATTTTTATGAAGCCATACAAACAAGGAGAGTTTGAGAACTCTCTGGTTGAAGAAAAGCCGTTCAGGAGACTATCTGGTCATAAATGGCTCAAAGGGGTGAGTTCCTTTTATTTACCTTGAGATTGGGCTATATATTAGGAAATTGCAGCTGAGAGGCCTACAGAATACACACTTAAACATGCTGGGTGAATACAGGGCCTATATTAATAAGGGTATTTAGGCCTTAATAGATATGTAGCTCTTACTCTATTTTTCTTACTTATTTTCCAAAAAGTTAAGTTTTTTTAAAAAATATTTTTTTATTGATTTCAGAGAGGGAGAGGGAGAGAGAGATAGAAACATCAATGATGAGAGAGAATCATTGACCGGCTGCCTCCTGCATGCCCCCCACTGGGGATTGAGACAGCAATCCAACAATGTGCCCTGACCAGAATCGAATCGTGACCTGGTTCACAGGTTGACGATAAACCACTGAGCCACACTGAAGTTTTTTTAAAGCTATACTTTCTAATTAAAATTGTTCATTAGTGTGAAATGCTCCAATTAAGCGTTAGTATCTTTTCAAGTTATGAGTATATCATGATGTCTGTGCTTGCTGATACATTTTTACCTCACAAATCATAACACAGTAAAAAGACAAGATACCAGCAATTATTTATTTCTTTGACCCGAATTCCTCTCTGCCCTTTGCAGCCTCAGCGATTCAACATGGACACTCCGTGAAGTTAACCATGACTTGCGAGCAGGGAGCGTAAAAACCATTTTCAATTTTAATCAATTTAATCTTTTAAGCCTTTTAGCATGAAAGGCTTCACCTGTCACGTTTGCTTTTCAAAAATTTGTCATTGTTGTCTTAAATTAGCTAACAAAGCAAGAATCTTTAATTAATAGAAACTTTTCTGAATGGAGTTAAGTATTTTGAGTCACAGCATTAAACCGCTTTGGAACACACACGACTCAGTAAGTAATTTTAAAGTGCCCGTTCAGGTTTCATGGCTGGGAGAAAAATAGAGTACCTTGGACTTTAACAACTTACACTCTATCTTAATGTCTGATGGAATTTCTCATTTTAAATAATACCACCATTTTACCTAAATTTATTTTTCAAATCTACTTTACCATGAACTTAAAAAGTGGAGGATTATTTTTTAAATAGTTCCATAGTTACTAAAACCCATGTAATTCTTATGTAGTTATTTTAAAATTATTGTGAAAAATTTGTTTCATTATTTCTCCTGGATACTTTAACAGAATGTGGTGCCATTGTTTAGGTGCATAGATGGTGGTAAAGCATAATCATAGTGTTGAGAGGAAAGACAGTACTCAGGAGGCTATGCTGACACTACATCAACTGACCACCGGTCCTTGTCTCTGACAAGGTAATGTGTATGTAGAGCAGTGGTTCTCAACCTTCTGGCCCTTTAAATACAGTTCCTCATGTTGTGACCCAACCATAAAATTATTTTCGTTGCTACTTCATAACTGTAATGTTGCTACTGTTATGAATTGTAATGTAATATGCAGGATGGTCTTAGGCGACCCCTGTGAAAGGGTTGTTTGACCGCCAAAGGGGTCGCGACCCACAGGTTGAGAACCGCTGATGTAGAGGAAACTGTGAGGTGATTACCAGAAGTCCACCCAGGAAGCACATGCACCCTCCCCCCCACCCAGGACCTTAGAGTCAGTTTCATATAAATATACAAGAACTTAGAAACAAACAAAGGGTTCACCTACTCAAACAAGTATGGGGAAAAAGCAAATTCAGAAACAAACAATGATTTTAAAAGGAATGTATCACTACCAACTGAATTTTGTTTTGGAATTTTTACTTAACAATAGGTTGATCAAATTAGTTTGTGAATTTATGACAGCTTTAACTATAAAGGAAATACAACTGAAATATAAGGATCAATATGCTTGGATGGGAAAATGGACCAAGATCATACTCTACAACATGACCTCTTTAGATACATCATTAAGATATATGGAAATTCGCAGTAAATTTTGAAAGCCAGAGTTATTCTTTCTTATAACTATGCTTTTATTAAATTGCATCATTCAATTAAAAAATAGTTCATCTATTATCCACTATTATCAGTATAAACCTACTAGATTTATAAGGTGATAAACCTAAAATATTTAAAGATAAAAGATGACGAGGGTAACTGTAATAGATTATTAGAGTCACTGGAATTGAAATTTTAAAGTAAGAAGCCATAATCATACATCATGGTTGTTTATATGAAAATAATAAGAAGGACTTACATGTTGGTGTTGGCAGTTGATGTCAGCCATTCACCAGCTAATCCAATGATATCCAGTCCAGTGGAGAGCTGGTTGAAAAATCGAGGATGACCTAGAGAGGAAAGTAACAGGCAGGCATCAAAGCAAACCCAGATTCTTCAAGCTACCTTCCAAGCAAAAGCCTGCTCTCCCAGGCCTCACAGATGGGGCCTCCATCCCAGTGGTCTAATAGGGCTGCCCAAGGATATGGAGAAGGAAGAGCAGGTTGACTCACCCTATACCAACTTTTACCATGAATGCTGTCCCCCAAATTTATATGTTTCTAAAGCATAATGCTTTTAAATTTTAAAAAATCCAATGTCATGAAACCAATAATCTTTCCAATATCTTAATTTCCAGATGAAATTCTTATTGTATTTATTTTTAAAAATATATTTTTTATTGATTTCAGAGAGGAAGGGAGAGGGAGAGAGAGATAGAAACATCAATGATGAGAGAGAATCATTGATCGGCTGCCTCCTGCATGTTCCACATTGGGGACTGAGCCTGCAACCTGTGCATGTGTCCTTGACCAGAATCGAACCCAGACCTTTCAGTCTGCAGGCCGATGCTCTATGCACTGAGCCAAACCGGCTAGGGCTTGTTGTATTTATTTTTTAAATTACAAATTAGGATGTATGGTCCTGATTTTTCTCATAAATGTTTCAACCTTTAAATTTTTTTGTTTTGTTAATCCTCATCCAAGGATATTTTTTCCATTGATTTTTAGAGAGAGTGGAAGGTGGGGGGAAGGGAGGGAAGGAGGGAGAATAGGAGGAAGGGAAGAAGGCAGAGAGAGAGAAACATCGATGTGAGAGAGACGCATTGATTGGTTGCCTCCCGAACACACACCGACCGCGCTGGGATGGAACCTGCAACCCAGGAATCAAACCCACGACCCTTTGGTGCACGGGCCAACACACTAACCACTGAACAACACTGGCCAGGGCTCAAATTTTAATTTAACATCTCAAGGATTTAATCCCCAAATCAAGGTTTACTAATGGAGGAGAGGCTGCAGGCCTCAGAGAGTGTTTGTGGCTCTGTGGACCAAACCAAGCCCAGGCAGGTGCCAGCTATGATGCTGATGCCGAGGGCATACCATCACTCTCTGGGTCTCTGTGTCAGTCAAATATGGCACCAAGCATTGGTGTGTTTGCCTACATATAGTCACGTGGATGTTAAACTAAATTTACTGCTGAGATGACCTGGCCTCTCCTCTGTGAGACAGGAGTGGACACAGCCTCATTCACTCATTGAGTTGTTGGTAAAATAATTGTTATTATTATTAAACATTAAAGTCCTTTGCAACCCAGAGTAGGCTTTCACAGGCTTTGTTCTCAGCAATTTCAGGATTGCTGCCAAGTTTTGGACAACTTGGCATTCACGCAAAAACTCAAGCCCACATCAGCAGGCTAGGCTTGGCTGTCCCAAAGGAGTCAACGCGATAGATTATCTAGAGGTACGTGACAGGGAACTGGTGTTAGAAAGATATGCTGACTGCTGTGTTTCCAGTGGAAATTGCTTTTGCCTCTGAAATAACTGTCAGAAAGCTAGAGTTTGGCGGTTCCTCCTCTAAGCCCCCTCTCTGAGAATGTCTGTTCTTTCTCCCATGTGATGGGGACTCATTCAGAACATCTGGACTATTACTTCTTTTATTTAACATATATTTATTAAATGTATTGGGGTGACATCGGTTAACATGAACATTCGACTATTACTGCCTATCAGAATAGTCCAATCCCTGCATCTCAACAGTACTCAGAAAATAATACTGATCTTTAGAAAAAATAAAAGAAGCATAAACATTAAGCCTAGTGTAAGTATGGGGCCAGATTCTAGACATTCGGGTAGACTACCCTAAATAGTTTAAACTAGCCCATTTCACTCTGCTTTGCTCAGTATCATCAGAATCTATGAGATCTCCTGCAACATAATTTTGTTGAAATTCATTTAAAAATACATGTGATAGCCCTGGCCAGTATGGTGCAGTTGGTTAGAGAGTCCTCCAGTGCACAGAAGGGTCTCAGGTTTGATTCTCAATCAGGGCACATACCCAGGTTGTGGATTCCATACCCAGTAAAGGCAGATGGGGGGTGGGAGCAATAGATAGATGTCACTCTCTCACATCAATTTTTCTTTCTGTCTCTCTCCCACTCCATCTCTCTCTCTCTTTCTCATCAATGAAAAACATATCCTTGGGTAAGTATTAAAAACAAACAAACAAACGAACAAACAAATACAAACACATGTGATACCCATTTAAAAACTTTTAACAACAAACCTTTCATTTTAAATAGGACTGAGTCATAAATAAATTCAATCACACTATTTGACAATGTCTCAAAACCTCATGGCCTGGCTGGCAGAGACAAAAGATGGTCAAAGATGAATGACAGAAATGACCTCAAATAAAAGTGAAACAGCATCTCATTTCCATTAAAATATAAAGGACACAAAAGTAAGTAAAACCTTAGTTTTCTCTTATGGTTACAGCCTTATGCCCCCAAAATCTCATATGAGAATTTAAATCAAGTAACAAAATGACCCAGTTTAAATTTCAATTTCAATTCTCTACAGTCAATGAAAATAACAGATGACAAATATGGTGATGTGCTACACATGGCCTGGAGTCAGAGAGTGGGAGAAAAAAGTAATTTCTTAAAGTTCAAGTTTTATTTTTGAACAAATAAGCTTCAAGAAAGAAAAAGAGAGCTGGAAGGGAAAATCTACTTTGATTATGAGACATATCAAACAATTGCAATGTGAGGCACTTATTTGGGTTCTGACTTAAATGAAATATAACAAAACAAAACATTTCTGACTTCCATGAGACATTGAAAATTTGAACACTGACTGAATATTTGATATTAAGGAACTATAAATGTTGTGGGGTTTTGGATATAATAATGATATGTGATTATTTTTGTTTAAAGAGCCCTTGATGGTGAAAAATATCTCTATTATAAAACCCTAATATGCAAATAGACTGAACGGCGGAACAACCGAACAACCGGTTGCTATGATGTGCGCTGACCACCAGGGGGCGTGCGCGGATTATGGCAGGCGTCAGCAGCAGGTGGCAGAGCGTGAAACATGGTGGGCATTGGCTGCAGCAGGATGGTGGAGCAGGTGAGTGGGGGTGCCAGACCAAGGCGGGGCGCCGGTTGCTGTCATCTGGGCAAGCCTCTGGTGGTTACTGAAAATTCTTTGCTCCCGCGTGCTCCATTCCTGCCAGACACTCGCACCTGCGGCTGGCGCTGGCCCCGCTCACACCTCTGCTGGTGCCCGGCATCAGCCCTGATCACTCGGCACCGTCAGCGGGTGTGAGAAGCAGCTGCAGCCCGGATTGCCCCTCAGGGCTTCTCCCCCTCCCCCTGTCCTGAGGGGCGATCGGGGACAGCAGCCACCTCTCACACCCGCTGCTGGCGATGGCCCTGCTTGCATCCACTGCCGGCGCCTGGTGCCGGTCCTGATCACTTGGTGCTATCAGTGGGTGTGAGCAGCGGCTGCCAGCCTCAATCACCCCTGAGGGCTTTTCCACCTCCCCCTGCTCCTGAGGGGCAATTGGGGCAGCAGCAGGTGCAGGCGGGGCTGGCGCTGTCAGTGGGTAGGAGTAGTGGCAGTGGGAGTGGAGCTGCCAGCAGACAGGGGATTGGGGGCCACGGTGGGAGGGGCTGGGCGGGGGTGCAGAGGATGGGCTGAGACTGCCGCTGTGCCCACTGCAGCCTTGTGGCCCACAGTTCAAGGTGCACGAATTCGTGCACTGGGCCCCTAGGTTATGGATAAAATACTATTATGCCAGGGATGTGCTTTCATATAATATAGAAGAGGAGACCATGGGCGGGGGGTGGAGGGTATAGGTTAACAAAATTGGCAGTAGCTAATAATGGTTGAAGCTGGGTGTTGGGTATACAGGGCTCATTATACTACTCTACTTTTGTATAAGTTTAACATTTTCCATAATAAAAAGTTAAAAAGAAAAATTAAGGAATTCTACATATTTACTGTGACTGAGGGCTGATTAGCATCTATCTGTCTCATGGACAATCTACATATACTGGTCCTTTTTTCAGAAGTCTTTTGTTAATTTGTAGAGAAATCTCCAAATGCCATCATCACCCTTCACAGAGTGTACCCAGATCAGCATGTTTTCACTATTAAAACCCAATTCATGCCCTGACTGATGTGGCTCAGTTGGTTGAGCATTATTCCATGCCCTGAAGGGTTGCCGGTTCGATTCCTGGTGAGGGACGTGCAGGAGGCAGCCGATCCATGTTTTGCTCTCACACTGATGTTTCTCTCTCTCCCTTCCTCTCTCTCTAAAAATAAATTAAAATAAACCCAAACCCCAATTCATTATTTTGGCTGAGCATTAATATCCCTTTTAAAAGAATAAAATATCTTCTGTGTGTAGCTACCTGTGGGGTTTACCCTGTTGCTTTGATATCTACCTCTGTGTTAGAGACCAGCGTCCAGAAGCTGTTTTCACATGGCAGCCACAGTACACTTTGCCAGGGTCAATACCCTGAGATTCAGCAGAAGGCTTCACACTGCCTGGAAGATAGTAAACTCTAAAGATGCAAATACCTGTTCCCAGAAGCTGCTCTGAAGAACAGGGATGAATGGCTACAGGGTGGATATCTAAGTGAATTCATACACTGAACTAATAAAAGTCCATGCTTCAGAGCCCAGAAATAAACCCATATCTATACGGTCCAATAATATATGACAAAGGAGGCAAGAACATGCAATGGGGTAAAGACAGCCTATTCAATATATGGTGTTGGGAAAACTGGGCTGATACATGCAAAATAAGGAAACTAGGCCACCTTTTTATATCATATACAAGGATAAACTTCAAATGAATTAAAGACTTAAATATAAGACTCAAAACCATAAATCTTCTAGAAGAAAACATAGGCAGAAAATCTCTGACATTTCTCTTAGCAGTATTTTTTCTGCCATAACTCCTTGGGCAAGGGAAACAAAATAAAAAGAAACAAATGGGAGTACATCAAACTAAAAAGTTTTTGCACAGCAAAGGAAAACCATCAACAAAATTAAAAGACAACCTACTGAATGGTAGGAGATACATTCAATAAGGGGTTAATATCCACAATTTATACAGAACTCATACAACTCAACACCAAAAAAACCCCCCAGGCAATCCAATTGAACAGTGGGCAGAGGACCTGAATAGATACTTCTCCAAGAGGATATGTGGATGGCCAATAGACATATGAAAAGATGCTCAACATCACTTATCAGCAGAGAAATGCAAATTAAAACAACATGAGATATCATGTCACACCTGCCAGAATGGCTATCATCAATAAATCCACAAACAACAAGTGTTGGTGAGGATGTGAAGAAAAGGGAGCCCTCATGCACTGCTGGTGGGAATGCAGACTGATGCAGCCATTGTGGAAAACAATAGGGAGGGTCCTTAAAAAATTAAAAATGGAACTGCCCTATGACCCAGTGATTCCACTTCTGGATATATATCCAAAGAAACTTAAAACACTAATTCTAAAAACTAAATGCACCCCTATGTTCACTGCAGCATTATTTACAATAGCCAAGACATGAAAGCAACCCAAATGCCCATCAATGGACAAGTGGATAAAGGAGTGTGGCACGTATATATAATGGAATATTACTCAGCCATAAAAAAACAATGAAATCTTACCATATGCTACAGCATGGATGGACCTAGAGGATATTATGCTAAGTGAAATAAGTGAGACAGAGAAAGACAAATACCATGATTTCACTTATATGTGAAATCTAAAGAACAAAGTAAATGAACAAACACAATAAAAACAGACTCATAGATACAGAGAATGGACTGATGATTGCCAGAAGGTAAGGGGGGAGGGCTGGGTGAAAAAGGTGGGGGGGATTGAGAAGTACATATTGGTAATTACAGAATAGTCACGGGCATATAAAGTACAGCATAGGGAATATAGTCAATAACATTGCAATAACTATGTACAGTGCCAGGTAGGTACTGGAAAAATCAGGGGTACTGCTATGTAAAGCAAGCATGTCAAACTTGTGGCCTGCGGGCTGCATGCCTCATTTATTTGGCCCATGTTAGCCTTTGAGTTTGACATGCTTGGTGTAAAGTATATAATTGTCTAGCCATTATGCTATACTTAAATTAATTCAAAATAATATTAAGTATAAACTATAATTGAAAAATAAAATTTTAAAAAGGAGTCTATGATGCTTCAGTTTTATCATCAATAGGGGTTGCCTTATGACAAATCCATGTATTTTTCTTTAAGGGACAACACTATTTGGGCTTTACTGAGAAAAGTATGTGGTCTCATCTCTCTGAGAAAGTGTATTTAGAGTGAGCTGACAAAATAAAAAATGTTGGTTCAAAGCAAGTCAAGCTAAAATATACACGGAGAGAGAATTCTGACTCTTTTAATCTAACCACATAACACTACTTAATTTCCATCAGAAATGGGTTAGCCATTAGATACCAAGGTGAGATGTAACTAAATTGATGAGTGTGCTTTTCTTTAAAAATGAAACACAGACTTTGTAATATAATTGAGTCGTGTCCACCCTACAGTTATTCAAGGAAGTTACACTTATTCCAGTGGTGTTGGCAGACCTCAAAAGCTGTTTGGGATTCTTTATTTAAAAAAAAATGCTTCTTTGGCCAGCCTCATTATTTCATTTTAACACTTTGTTTTTGACATCTCATAGCCTTACTCAGCTCTATCTCCACCAACCTTCCCAGTCATATGTTCAAACGACTAGGAAGAGTAAGAGGGACAATGAAAGAGAAGGAGAGAAAAAGAAGAAAAAACAAGAGGCTACCAGTTGTGGTCTCAGGAGCTCCCCATATGTTGGCAACTATACTATGAATTGCCAATACTTGTAGAGCTATCTGCCAAGAGCTCAGGAGGGCCAGGCTGCAGTGGGGAACGATAGCAGAGAGAAGAAATCACTGCTTAACTCTCAGGCTTCGACGTAGACAGGCAGAAATCCAAAAAGTCCTTGAACTTGAAGCAACTGAAAAGTAACCACTTTGGCCAGGATTGCTGATTAGAGAGGGTTTGTGTAACGTGAAAAGGAGGCAAGAGGGGATCCTTTAGAGCTTCCTGTTGAGATGGGAGTTGGTGATTTAGGGTGTCTAAACTCCAGAGGTAGCCCTAGCCGGTTTGGCTCAGCGGATAGAGCATTGGCCTGTGGATGGAAGGGTCTCAGGTTCAATTCTGGTCAAGGGCATGTACCTTGGTTGCAGGCTCATGTGGGAGGCAACCAATTGATGTGTCTCTCTCATATCGATGTTTCTCTCTCTCTGTCTCTCCCCCTCGCTTCCACTCTAAGAATCAATAGAAAAATATCCAGGTGATGGTTAAATAAAGAAATCTCTAGAAACTCTTAAAAAAAATCAAAGTTTTAAACTCCAGAGGTAGAAAGAGAATTTGAAGTGTGTGTGTGTGTGTGTGTGTGTGTGTGTGTACGTGTGTGTGTGTGTGTGTGTGTGTGTGTGTGTGTACGTGTGTGAGACTTTTTGGTCTAGCCAATAGAAGGGGTTGTGGGTTAAATTGTGTGCCTTAAAAAGACATGTTCAAGTGTTAACTCCTGGTGAGTGACTATTTGGAAATAGGTTCTTTGCAAATGTAATCAAGTTAAGATGAGGTCATAATGGATTGCGGTGGACCCTAGACCAAAGATTGGTGTCCTTATAAGAAGAAATGTTGACACATACACAGGGAGAATGCCATGTGAAGGTGAAAGTGAAGGCAAAGACTGGAGTGATGCATCTACCTGTCAAGGAATACCCACAACCACCAGAAGTTGGAAGAGGCAAGAATGGATCCTTCTCAAGATTCTTCAGAGAGAGCATGGCCCTGCAGACACCTTGATTTCAAACTTCTGGCCTCCAGAACTGACAGAGAATAAGTTTCTACTGTTTTATTCACCCAGTTTGTGGTAATTTGTTATGGCAGCCTTAGGAAATTAATATAAAAAGGAAGAGAAATGGGCCCAATTCTCCCCAATTTCAGGGACAGGCAAGAGCAGGATTTATCAGAATGAAATGGCCATGAAAATGGGTCCTTCTGCTCTCTTTAGGGTGTGAATAGCTTAAAACCAAGAATGAAAACTTTATACTGAAGCTGACAGAGTACCATGTACTGTATATCTTTTAAATCTACTTTCACAACAACAAATGATGATGGGCTTTTGCCAGGGTTGGGGCCTTCCATTAACTGTCACTGCCTGAGGTGGCTGTGTGGTCACTGAGCACGTTGCTGCCTTCCCTCACTAGGTTTGTGCTCTCCTTCCACATGAGTTTGACATCCTCACAACTGAAGAGGGTGTGGTGTAGGGCAAGCTTGCTGCTGCATGTCCACCTGGCTCTCACCCTTACCTGTGCGAACCCCATACTTCAGGGTGTCTCTGCAGTCAACCAGAATCTGCTCCAGGGACTCAGGTTGGTCAGAGAGCTCCAAGTTGAAGCCCTCCATGCCTTCCAGCAGCTGGTGTGGGTGATGGAAGTCCAGCACCTTGGTGGAGCGATCAAACGTCTTGCGGACATAGTTGAGGAGTATGTCCACCACCTCCAGTAGGAATTGCACAGTTTGCTCCTCCCCGTTCTTAGCTGGAAGCAGATCTGGGAAGGGGAGGGGAAAGCCAATGAGTGGTTATCACTTGACTCATATCTGCCCTTCCCAGGCCCAGAAATTCCTAGCACCAGCCATGATAGCTCTTATAGGACTAATTTCATTTCAGGATATGTACCCGTATACACATTGAGAATCTGATGTACCATCTTCCCAGAAAATCACACATAAGCATATACACAGAAGTTCTGCACACACTTTCTGGGGGTCCACAGACTTTCTGATAGTTAGGCTGCTCATAAGTGAAATGGAGAGCTTTGAGAAGCTGTGAGCAGCCTGCCATTTGCAGGCTGAACGGACATCTGTCAGGTTTGTGATGGAGGGGGCTTCTGTCTTGCCCCCCTGGTACCATGCGTGTCCCTATACATCTGATTCAGACATTGGGCTTTTGATTTAGTGTCATGATGTGCTTGATCTGCTGATGGCGGAGGGTCAGGCCTCTGTGGGTAAAGGCTGAGGTCTCCCTTGAAGAGTGTGGTCCTTTGTGATGTCCTTAGACAGAAAACTGTAACTAGAAGATGGAACTCAGGAAGGTGAGAGGAGTAATCCTTTGTGTCTCTTCCCTGGATTATCTCTGAGGTTTAATAAAGTCTTGTTTACTGTTCTGGTCTGGTCACTCCTGCTTGTGGGGAGTTAATGGACAGGGTGGTGGTGGACTTACCTTGGAGCTGTTTGGGAGAGAGAGACTGGGAAAGCACCAGTGATGTGGGGGACAACAGTAAATACTGAAAGGTCTCCAAAAGGAAAATGAGTTTTGGGACAGCACTTTGGCATGAGGTCCAGACACACAGCTTCCCACAGTGTGATTTGGTTCTTACTGTTGTTGCCAACCTTGGAGGATAAATGCTATTAAGGGAATTACCTATATTCCTATATTCTAGGAATCCATATTAATCCTTGGAAGTGTTAGAGTGGACTGTTTTATTAACTATCCTCATCCAGCTCCCAAAGCAATAAAGACTGGCACTAAGGAAAGGGATTCAAATGTTGAAAAAGTAATGACATTTTTGGTAAAAGAAGTAACATTTTAGGAAAAAGTCAAGAAATGCAATAGAACCTACTGGATAGCTCTGGGGAAATGGGGGTAAGGGACGGGTGGGGAGGGACTACCTCGAGCAAACAGGTTGGAGAAATCAGTCTCTGTGCGCCTGAAGTGGCCATCCCTGTCGCTGTTCTCGCAGGAAATCAGGTTCTTGGAGGCCTGCCTGTCCTTGAAGGCGCTCACCAGCCGGCTCTTCTCTTCCAGGCTGTTGGTCCTTTGTAAGAAGCCTGTAGCGCAAGAAGCTGGGTCAGAGATGGTGCACTGAACCCCAGCCTCAGAGGGTCAGCTCTGAGCCAGGCTGACTGTGCAGGCAGGGTTCTCACTTCTCCAGAGAAGCTGTCTGCGTTTTCTACAGAAGGGCTCTGGCACTGCTTGCCTTCAGGCGGGGAAGGGGCAGTGCCAAGTGTCATCAGTGGCACAGACCCAGTCATGCAAGAGAGAAAAACAGTGAGCAAAGCCCATTCTCATCTCCGAACGTGACAGCGAACTTAGAATTAAGTCCATTGGACAGCTTCCACTCCAGTAACCAGCCCCAGGATGGGCTTTTAAGGGAAGGACGCGATCGGAGAGGATACTGCCAGCCCAGGGTCTATGGGCTGTGCAGCCGAGGGAGGGGGTGAGGACCAGCAGTGGGGACTAGGGAAGATGCTTTCCTCAGCCACCAAGTCCAGCTCACAGGTTGAATGTAAGTGTAATTGTTCTGAAGATAAATGAGACAGACCCCCTACCCTCCAGGAGCTTACAGTTTGGCAGATGGTAGCCAAGGCTGTAATAAAGCTAGAAAGGCATCCAAGAACTCCACAGAGATAGACTCTGAGCCCAGGGTGGGATTCAAAGCGCCTCACCTCTGCCCCTCCGAGGGAATGGATCTCTCCCAGAGAAGCAGGCTGAGCCGAAAGGGCTGGAGACTCTCCACACCCCTCCGGGCTCGGGCCTGCAGGCCCCCACCTCCCCTCAGCATCTCCTCCAATTTAGCCTCAGGCTTAGTCCTTCGCCTGAATGCACCACACTGAAAAGAGGAAGGGAGCTCTACGCTTCTTGGTGACCCCAAAGCTGTCTTTGTAGATACCACAATCCTTGGGGAGTCGCTTACATCACAAGGAAGGGTTGGAGCAAAGTCCCAGGAGGTTCAAGAAGAGGCAAGTTAATCTGAGGAATTCCACTTTACTTCCCCAGGACTGCACATCAGCGGTGCTGGGTAGAGGAAGGAGGGATGCAGGGGGAAGGCTGGGTGATTAGAGTCCTCCCACACACAGGAGTAGGGTCTATTTTTGGAGGGAAGAACAGGAAGGCAGAGGCACCAGGCCCTTCATTGTTCCCAGCATCTTGTAAACTTACTGCTAAAGCCCGAAAGAACACCAGAAGAGGTGAAACACACCACTGCAGTGACTTTCAACCGGTGTGCCACAGAATCTTTAAAACATGCCATACCTGGTGATTTAGTCAGGGGCATTGACCCATTTTTCCTTAGATTGTCAAATTAAAAAATGACAACAGCCAACACAACAATAGCCGTCCAGTGTGAATGAATCAGAATTATACCCTTCTCTTTTTTTTTTTTGCAGATCAGAAAAAAAATGTATTTTCTGGTGTGCCACAGAATTTTAGTAATTAGTTTATGTGTGCCATGCAATGACAAAGGTTGAAAATCACTGTACTGTATAACAGAGCTCTACACTTGGATATAAAGGTGGGGGTCTTATCCTTTCCCTCACCTCTTCTCCTAAGTTCTGAATTCCTCCTCCAAATCCCCAAAGTCCAAAACTCACTTGCCAGAGAGATGCAGGGTCGCCTGGCTCCTGAATTCAGAGACTGCTGCCCTGCTCCCAGAACAGGGAGCTGTGGAATTTGCCAGGCTGAAAAGACCAAATTTGCCCTGTGGCAGAATGGAGGTGAGGTCCTGCCCGCTGAAATCCTACTCTTAGGTCCTTAACCTCTGGTTGGCTCTGACCCACTCCTGGGAAAAGCCTTCGGTCTCTACTCTGGGCAGCTGCAGGACCTAGGACCTCCACTTGGGCTTTGAATGTTATCTCTAAATCTCAGAGGTGTCCTGATGGGGTTGAGAGGTGACAACTGTGACACAACTTCAAACCTGCATCCCATTCCTGGACCACCCTCCCTGGAGTGCACTAGGAATCCATATTTTCTATAAGTCCTGTAAGTGGTCTTATGACTAGCACACTTACACTGCATTATAATTTGTGGCAAAAACCATTAATCTGATAATATAAACACTTTGTATATTGTTATTATAATAACAATTTCTTGGAAGGTATTTGTTTTCTAAAATACTGGGAGCCTCGCTGGGCTCTGAGAGGCTCTGGAAGGAGCTGTGAGCTTCTGCAAGGATGGCCAGGTGGTGGGTCACATTGAGGTCAGTGTGTTGACAACTTCCCTGCGTAGCAAGGAGTCCCAGAGACGGATGCAGACTGTATTCCCTCTTGCTCTACACCCTGGCGGTGAGGATCTAGTGTAAAGTAACCCAGCTCAACATTCTTAAGAGGCAAAACAGAGTGAAAGACAAAGCTGTAGGTGGCTTTGGTCAGGCTGTAGCACTCTGGCTAGCTTCAAGCTGAGGACACGAGGTGAGCCTGTCACGACTCCACCTTTGGGCTCTGGGGAGATCCTGCTGATGGTTCCACATGCTGACACCAAACTCAAAGGTCTAGGTGCCCCAGTGAGTGGGGAAGTGTGGGAACTAGGGGGTACCTGACACGAGCCAGTTGTTTCCAAGTGGGGCTGCGAGTAGCACAGGGCATAAAAGCACATGGCCAAGCTGGGCACTGGGCCTGAAGCCCAACAGCTCTGTTCTCCTCCCCAGCTGTAGCATGGATTGCATTTAACTAGAGGAAGGGACTCTTGTTCTGATTTCTATGGGCTAAAAGTACCCTGCCAGATCTCCCCCCACTCACACCTTTTATTTTATTTCAAGAGAAGCCAAAAATGTATTTGAAGTCTCTCTCTGTTTAAAAGTTGGCAATTAACACAAAATCAAACATACACACACAGAGACACACACACTGCATAGGCTAAATAAGGGCACAGGGGCTGTAACTGGCAGCTGGTCTGAGACCTCTGCAAAGATAAGTGATGGAGCAGAGCCCAGAGTCAGAACTTCGGGGCTCGCTGCATCTCCTCTTTTAGTCATGCCACCATGCCTGTAGCCACCCCAATCTCTACCTCTTGACAAGACTTGGATTTCTTCCCCAGGGGATTCTGCCTCCAGAGCTAAGGGTACCTCCGGTGAGACCCAGGTCTTCCTTGCAGCCTCATTCCTGAGGGTTCCAGGGAAGGGGGTAGGAGAGTGGGTGGGGTGGAAACTTGGTGAGGCACTGAAGAAGTTGGGGGGGGCAGCAGGGCAATGAATTAGGAGGTGGGAGGAGGACCATTAGTCCCTCTGCTATTTTAAGGTGAAAGATCAAACCAACCCCAAATGGTGACAGGTTAGGAGGGCAACCTTCAGGCCACAGAAAATCTGGAATGAAGGGAGTGGAGGTGTCTATGTGGGGGGAGGGGAAGGGGCTGTGGATTCAGGTCAAAACTAAAGATTGCACTATGCCTCCACTAGATGAAAATGGAAAGCCAGAGTTGGCCCAAAGTATGGAAAAGAAATCCTCCTGGCGTTTTTCTTTCCTTTCAGAATCAAACCTCACGTGAAGCCTCCTAACCGGTTGTGCCAAGAGCATGCATTTTAGCAGAAGGCAATTTTCCCTTAACGACTACCAGCCCTGTCCGCCTCCGATGGGTTTCAGCTTTCCTGAAATTACTGTTGGGGGTGGGGGTAGAAACAGAGAAGAGCTCTCTAAGGACGGTGGCCCCCCCAATGCCCAGGGGCTCTCCCTCAGGCGAAGTTGATGCAAACTCGGGGGCCCCTATTCCTGGACCCAGAGAAGCTCCTTGACCCAAAGGGCCGTTTAGACCTTTTCCTGCAGACTCGAAGGGCCGAAGGACCCGGGCGAGGCCAGGAGGCGGGGACGGGGCGGATAAGGCTGCCCACGGGCCGGCCCAGGGCCGCGGGGACAGCGGCCCTCAGTTCTGCTTGCCCGACCGCTGACAATGACGGCTGCTGGAGCCCAGCGCCTCGCCGAGGGGACACGGCGCGGAACGGGCCATTAGGCCGGGAATGGCGGCGGGGGGAGGGGAGGACTATTTATAGAACAAAGCTCGGCTGCTGCCGGCTGCGCGCCGGGACCGGCCCCCCGCCTCGCCCCACCGGCCTAGCGTGCCCGGGAGAGGGCCAAACCCTGGGGCTGGGCTTTCCCTGGAAAATGGCTAGGTCTGGGGTGGAGCAACCCTTCCTCACCGTCAGAGCTGCTCCCGGGATCCAGAGGGCAGAGCCCCAGCAACGCAGGGCGGGCGCCGCGGGGGAGGGAGGGTGCTTCCCAGAAGCTGCTATAAACAACCCGCTGTCGCCGGCCGAGGCCGGGGCGCAGCGAAGCTCGGGGGACCCGGCCCCGCTCGCACCCGCTCGCCCCCCGGCGGGGCCCGCGCTATCTCCGCGAGCAGCAGCTGATGGATGGGCCCTTAATAAGCCCCTCGTCCATCTCCCGCGCCGCTCCGCCCCCTGCCCGGGGAAGCCCGTATTTTCTGGCCCGATAAGGCTAACGATTTTAGACGGTGAACTGTAGCCAGGAAAGCAAATCCTCATTGTTCAGCCGGAGCCACTCGGCTGTGTCCCTTCGAACAATCTCCTTTTTTTCCCCTTTTTTAAAAAAAATGACATCCCTTGGGCGTTTCCATTTCAGACCTTCACGTCCCCAGAGAGCTGTTCTTTCTCCTTTCCAGTTCCCAGATCTATTTCCCTTTCTCTCTGGCAAACTGCACCCGACTCCCCCTTTCCCTCCCGAGGCCCCCCGCCCTCGCCCGCTCCCTTCCCGTCCCTCCTCCACTTCAAGGGCAAGCTCGGCAAACCCTCGGATCTGCGCCGTCCGCACCCCCCCTCCCGCCCCCATCCGCCCAGGCAGGCCACCGGGGGCTGCAGGCAATCCTTTCTCTCGCCCTCCGAGGCCCCAGAGAACGAAATCTGGATGTTATGGCATCTCGGGGCGAAAATCTCCACCCGGAGAGGCCGCTTTCCATGCACGATGGAAAGAGGGGAAAGGGAGGTGTGTGTGCCGCCGCCTTGGGCCAGCTCTCGGGTGACGCCCGCCGGTTCACCTTTCTGCTCGACCTTCCAGACGCGCGGGCGGAGCGCGAGGGCCGGAGCGGCCTGGGCGCCGGGCCGCCGCGCGGGGGCGCTGTGCTCACGCGCTGGCACCTAGACACGCGGCGGGTGGCCCGCAGTCACAAGCGCCCGAAAAGTCCCTCCAGGCCAGGCCAGGCCAGAAGCAGGCAGAGGAGAGTCCCGGCCCTAGAGCCGCGTCCCCGAGCCGCCTCCGGGCTGTAAGCGCCGGACCCCACAGCCAGGAGCCCCTAGAAGGTGCATCCCGCTCCTAAACCCGCGAAGCCGCCCGCAGCGCCGCCTGGCCCGGCCCCGGCGGCCTCTTCACTCACCGCAAATCTTGAGCCCCAGTTTTTTGGTGCATCCATGGGCCACGCCACACCAGGTGTCATACGCTAGAAAGCAAGAGAGGGGCGATCAGTGAGGCTCGGACCACGGGAGAGCGGGTGGAGAGCAGAGGTTTTTCTGGGGAAGGAGGCTCAGGGCTTGGCCACAGCTCCTGGTTCAAAGCTCTCTCCTGAAAGGACCACGGAGCCAGGTCGGTGGGCAGCACACTCGCGTCCTGCTCCCACGTCCAGGTACAGAACGGGGTCTCCGAGAGGCCGCGCCCCAGCGCCCCGCCGGCCTCCGAGCGACCCTCGCGGGGAGCGGCGGACGCGGGTGGCAGCGGATCCCAGGAGCACAAGGCCAGCCCCGCAGCGCGCATTGCCCGGTGCCCACCCGCCTGGCCCTGGCCCTCGGTCTCCGCCCCAAAGACTCGAAAGGCGACCACAGCCGCCCGCAAAGGGAACACGGAGGCATCTGGGACCAACACATCTCATAATTTCTTGGCGGGTCTCCAGCCGAGTGGCAGCTTAAAATAAACTGGCATGAAATGGGGTCGCGGAAGAGTTCAGGAATTAATTGGGTGAAAAATAGTATTTGACTAGATGATCGGACTCGCTTGACTGCTCTTCTGCCTGACGGGGGAGTCGGGAAGACAATAGTGCGCATCCGGTCCTCATCCCCGGCCCCCCTTCCCAACCCGCCCCCCCCATTAACCCTTCCCTCGACATCTGGGGTCTGGAGATAGCGAAGGGACCTGTCCTCCTGTCACATCGGCGGACCCACGAGGTGCTGTATGATCAGACTCCTCAGGGCCGATCCTGCCCTCGGGTTTCAACTTGCAGCCAGCAGCACCGGGGTGCCCAGCCCCCGTGAATTCCCTTCGGATCCTTCAAAGCAAGACTCCTCCCACCACTCCCACCCCACCCCGCTCTGGCCGGTGCCTGCAGCCCCCGGCGAGGGTAGACTGCGACCAGGACAGTGAAATCCATGGAACTGAGGCCCAGCGCAGCCCCAGCGAGGAGAGGAAACAGCTCCAGGTCAGTGAGGCAGACATGACCTCGGTGCCAAAGTCAAACCCTGCTAATACCTGGCAGGTAAAAAGCCCATAAAGTGCTTTCACTTTAAACACCACCGCGGCTAATTTTCATAGCCGCCCTGTGAGACAAGAGAAGTGTTCATCTAAGACCCATTTTACAGATAAAAGCACCGAGGCTCAGAGAGTCTAAGCGTTTGCCAGGGTCAGGCAGCTGGGGCGCTGGAGTTCAGACCTATCCCCCTGTCTTTCAGAGTTGGGAATAACAGTAAAAGGAAAGGAAAGGGAAGTAGAGGAAATGAGAGAGCAGCAAGTGGCGGAAAGCAAGGAGGAGGGGTGGCTGGAGCAGAGGCGAGTCCTGGGGTGCAGATTCTGCAAGGCTACCTCTCAGGGGCCGAGCAGCGAGCCAGCTGGGCGGGCGGGGACGTGTCTGCAGCCGAGGTTGAGAGTGTAGATAGCCCAGCGTGCAGCCTGGGATGCTCCCGCCACAGCTGGCTGTTGGGGGCCCGCCACGGTGTTCTCCCCACAGGTGCATGCACTTCCCCGCGGAATCTTCTTCTATTTCCCCTCTACTCGGCGGATTACAGTCGCGCCAGGCAATGCGAACTCAGATCAGAGCTTCTACTGGGGTTCGGACCCGGGGCTGGGCACATGCCACTCCACGGCTGGCTGCAGCCGGGAAGGGAAGTAGGAGCTCATCGGAGGTGGGGGCGCAGGACTCAAGGGTGGAAGAACACAAGGGCCCCCAGCAGGAGAGGGGCGGGAGCAGGAAATGTGGAGAGGGCTGGGAAAGAAATCCATCCAGGGTAGAGCAGCAGACAAAGGCGCCTGGCCTCGCTTTCCTCGCGGCCTGCTCCGGCCAGCTCCGCCGCCAGTGCCAGACTCACGTGCCGCCAGGGCTGGCGGCCCTCCCGAGCCCCTCTTTGTTGTGTGGGTAATTGTAGCCTGCGGGGGGGGCGGGGGGGGGGGCGGGGAGAGGGAGCCGCAATGGGAACTAGAACGCAGCCTAAGGACTTAAGACAAGGCCTCCAGCGCCGGAGCCAGTGGCAACACTAAGGGGATGGAGAGGGGGCTTTACCCCATAACATCCCCCATCTTCGCTGGTGGAAACCATCCACGCTTCCTTAAGCGCATAGAAAGTGTCGTAAAAGCGCAGCAATAAGCCCTCTCAAGGACCCTGCCACCCTCAGGGGGTGGTTCTATCTGGAGCTGGATGGATTTGGGGATGACACATTCATTCCAAATTGGGAAAAAGGAAAAACAATTCTCTCATCCCCGTGCCTCTACAGAAAAAGTGGGATATCAATCTGAATTAAAGGCATTCTGGAATGGATGGAAGAACTGAACTAGGAGTGGGGAAGCATAAACTCCCCCTCCCCCTTTACCCCCCCCCCCCCCCCGCTCCGCCCTTGAACCGGTTCCCCCTTTCTTCCTCTCTCTTCAGGACACGCAATTGCAGACAGGTCTCCTGCCCGGGAGAAAACAGAGCGGCGCTCTCTCCCCCCGCCCTGGCAAACCTTCTGGCCTTCTGGTTCGACAGCTCGCGCCATTCAGGATGCTGCCCGCTCCTTTTTCTTTTTTCTTTCTCGTCTCTGAGATGTAATGAATTGTCTAAAATGTTCAGGCTCAACCTCAAACCATTTTATACACCTTCCTTGCCTTTGACTTCTCCCTCACTTGTCAATAGCTAGAGGCAAATTTGGAGCAATTAGGGACCCCGAGTTTTCTAAAAGCTGCAATTAACGTCGACGTTTCCGCTGATTGTAGACTTGGAGCACAGCGCGCGGGGAAGGAAGGAGGGGTCAGATCTCGGCTTAACGAAAACCGGAGCCAGAAAACTCTATTCCAGCTGAGACTCTCGACTCCTCACACCGCCCACTACCCTGACCCCCGACGTCCCACCAAGCCAAGAAACCACACACAACACAACAAAAACAACGCGCTCGCCGCCCGCCCCTCTCTCGCAGCAAAGCCCTAGCCCTCAACCATCGCTGCCACTCGGACACGGCGTGGTCCCCCTTCTCCAGCGCCTCCAAATCGCCTCGCAGCCCAGTCAGCTGGTGACCTCTGGCCTGCCGGGAGCGGACGGGGCCCCATTTCTTTCCAGCCTCCTTCCTCGCTCTCCCCCTTCCTTTCCGCCAGCAGAGCCTCCTCCCGTCCTAGCACTCCTCTTCCCGGCAGTGATTTGCTAGGAACCCGGGGCAGGACCTACTTGTGGGACGCAGGTTGGCAGTATTGGGGTCCGCTCCAGCGTTCGAGGAGGTAGCCGATGAAGAAGGGGTCGAAGACGCCATCGCCTCTGTCGTGCCGGGGCCTCTGCTGCCCGGGTCCTCGGCCCGTCAGGCGCAGGAATAGGCTGTAAAGAGAAGTGATAGCTGTGCGGGGCGGGCTGGCGGGGTCCGGCGCGCGGGAGGCGGCTGAGCGACCGGGGGGCGCGGACGCTCCCCCTGAAGTCCCGGCTGCGGGGAGAGGAGCGGGGGGAAGGGCTGCTAGTCGCCTGGGTCCGGGTGCGCAGGGGGTGAGGGGGAACACGCGCGGGTACTCCGAGACTCCGGGGTGGGCCACGTAGCCCCGGGCGGCTCTCCAGTCTGAAGAAGCAGCCGGGCGACCTGGAGCGCAGAGCTGAGACCAGAGGAGCCCAAGGCCAGCGCAGGACGCAGGGTGCGGGGGCTGGGCTAGAGGGCAAGGCAGGCTCGGGGCGCGATTTCCCAGCCCAGCCGCGACAAGCCCCATTGGGTTCTCGTCTGCCGGAGAGCGGGAGAGGGGGGTGGGGGGAGCGGCGCACGGGGCGGGCACGTCTGGTTCAATGTCTGATTCCCGTTGTTGTGTCTGGCTAATTCCCTGGAAAGAAGGAGGCGAGCTGCTCTGGGAAACCGATGCCTTCCGTGAGACCAGGTGAGGACAAAAGGGTCCGGACCTTTGGGTGCTTCCTCGGACTTGGCCGGGGAAGCACTCCAGTCACCCTGCACTCCAAACCGCCAGAGAGCAGCGGGTCGCATCCTCGCGGGTCTCCCTCTGGTCCCGCCCCGCTGTGAGCCATCTCGAAGCCTCGGATGAGGCTCGGTCCAGGATTCTATGTTTCCCCTCTACCCAGCCCTCGGAGGTCCCGGATCCCTGGCCGCACAGAAAGGGCGAGGGAGGCCAGAAAGGGGGACGTCACGCGGGAAACGATTTTGCGCCCAGCGCGCGGAGGCAGCGGACAGGGAGTGAGACGCGGCACCCTTGCTCCGCGCTGGCGCGATGGCGCCCGAAGACTCGGGGACAGAGAGAGGGAGGGCGAATCTGGGGCCGGTCTCAGAGCGCGCGGAGTAAAGCCCACCGGCCACTGCCTTCTCAGCCTCCCTAGGACCTCGCCCCCAGCTCCGCGCTCGCAGGCGCACGAAAACGCAGGCACAGGGTAGACCGCGGCTCCTGGAGGAGTAACAGGTTATCGCTTCGAGTCGCGCCTGCGGCGGCGGCTGCCCCCGAGCCCTCAGGTGAGACGGGCACTCGCAGCCGGGACGCGCGGGCGGAAAGCACTCGCCATCCACGTCTGCGCGAGCCTCAGCCTCGGTGCATCCCGGGCGCGTGGATCTCGCCGGTGGGGACAGGCTGAGGGCGAGGGCGGGGGTCTCTGCGACGCACCGGCGGAGAGGCAGGGCCGGGCGGGAGGCACGCACTCGGCCGCCGAGGGTAGATGGCGGGCGCCCGGTATTGACCGAGAGACCGCGGGGGAACGCGGCCGAAGAGCCTAGGCTGGGCACGGGGAAGTCCGGCGGCCGCGCGCTTACCCACCTTGGCTCGGCGACAGCAACCCGAGCGCTTCCGCTGCTCCTCCGCGCGGCGCCGAGCGATCCGCTCGGCTCGGCTGGCTCCGCCACAGGCTTAATCGGCCCCGCGTCACCTCCAGCTGCCGCCTCGCTCCCACGAGCACCGTCCCGCACACTAGCGCCCGGAGGAGAAGAGAGCGACGGGGAGAGGCGGCGGCGAGGCTTGGGGGAGGCGGGGGCGGAGTAGGGAGGCGGGACCCCGCGAGGCGGGGGAATCACGCGGCCGCTGCTCGCGGGGGCAGCTCGTCGGCCGAGCGGCGGGGCTCCTCTGCAGGTGCGTGACCGCCTCTGGAGCTTTACACGGCGATTATAAACCCAGATCACGGTTTTGCGCCCGGAAAAAAAATGACCCTATGAGTAATCCAGTATGTACTCAACACGCTCGTGGTTTTTTTTTTATAAATAGTGTCGGGTGAGACGAGGGAAAAGATAATTCCTGTGAAGAATTCTGCTTGGCTGGGCACTTCTTCCTCCCTTTCCTGCCCCCACCCCCATATGTTTGAGAAGACAAGAGCAGCGGCTTTGCCTCAATTTCTTTCCCCCAGACCTACCAGTGTCCTCGCTGGCCCTCTACTCAGCCAGCATTGTTGTAAAAGCAAAGGAGGCAGAGATGGGGGAAACACTCAGACGCTTGACGGAATCTCCATCTCCTTTTCGTTTGTTTTCTTATCCAGCTGAAGGTCTTCCCAGAGTATCTCACTTGAGCACAGCTACCCAGTGCCACAGCAGAGAAAGGGTCCCGTTTCCCACCCACTTGGGGCTCCCACCTAAGGTAAAGGCTTTGGCTAGAAATAAGTGATAAAGATTTGTTCAAGGGTCTTAGTGTGTGCAAACCAGAAACACAAGTAGGCAATACCCAGTGTGTTCCCAAGAAGAAAGGTAGGCTGAGGGCTCATATAGTACAGGTTCTTAAGAACATTCAGTCCTACATTCTAACTCTTTGGATTGGTCCGAGATGGTAATCCTCTAGATGACAGGGTGGTTAAAAAGTTGAAATTCCTAGGTTAGTTGAAATAAGAATAGCATGGTTTCCTCATGCCTCAACCTACTTGATTTTAGTAATTTAGAAGCCTGACTATAGTGACTTCATTTCTTTATTCTGTTCCTCACTGGCTTTGCTCCTCTTGGTGATGGGGAAAGAAGTAATTTTGATTGATCACATCTGAAGGTTAATAATATGTAGAAGCGCCACTCTACTCACGCGGGGAACCGAAAACAGAGTGGTTATGGTGTGTGTGTGTGTGTGTGTGTGTGTGTGTGTGTGTGTGTGTGTAAGTAAAAGCCCTTGCTTTTTAGGTCCTCCTTTTGTAATATTTAAGCATATTTAATGAATTGCCCGGTGCAGCAAGCCCCTTACCACAAAAAGGCGTTCACGGAAAAATTTCCACCAGAGGGCGCCAGGCGCCCAGAAACCGAAAGGCTCGGTGTTAGCCGGGTCTTTCCGGATGCGCCAGAGCCCACACCTGGAGGGGCTGGCTGTGCTCTCCTGTGCCTTCGAGCCCTCCCTCAGCTACCCTCGTCGCTAAATAATGCTCTCCTCTTTCCTCGACTTCAGCTTCTTTTTATTTAGGGCAAAACAGAGTTATCTTTGTGTGTGTCTAGATGACACCGGGTAACCTTTACTCGTTTTCACAGTAATTTTTTTCCTGTTGCTGTGCAGCAGGGAAAGGTTTTTTTTGGACCCCGCTGCGGCCTTGCTGGTCCCCCCCAACCCCCCCCCCCCCCCACCCCGCTGTCCCTCCTCTCTTAATGGCTTATCACTTTTCACCACGACACAGTGGAAATGCAGAAAAATCTTACAAATCACTGTAAATTCCATAAGGGAGATGGAAGATTCGCTCTGAGAAAATATAGTCCGATCAGTAAGAAAGATCTCGCTGTGAGGTTTAAAATAACCGCGTTGCCCTTGATACAGAAGAAAACACTGTTGCCCTCTCTCGACCTCACAATAAAAGCTTGGGCACTTTTAAAGGCACAAACACATCCCGAACGGCGGGCCTGGGGAAACCACAGCTCCGGGGCAGGGCTGGGGGCTGGGAAGGGTGGGCGTGCCCACTCCGCGCAGGAACCGTTCCTGGGAACCACACACCGCGCAGCTCCTCCGTCACGCTTGAAATGCGCAGTTTACTCTCGGGTGAGGGTAGGAATTCCACCCATGTCCCCTGCTCGAGCCTTTCCGAGATGGTTGTACCAATCATGGATCCGGGTGCGGTGCTATTATGCACGACGCACGCGGGGCCAGGAGACGGGAGGGAAGAGACCACAAATCCCAGCCCCCCTGGGGGCAGCAGTCGTGGGAAGATGCCCGCTCGTCCTCTGTCTCCTCAACCTTCTCCCATTTTCTCGAGATTCTCCCTAAAGGAAGATTCGTTACCTTCACCTGTGGCATCAGACTGAGAAATGCCCAACCACTCCCTCTTCTGACCCCGGTGTCCAAACCACTCACCCCTAACGTTTTAGCCAAGAAAATGATCTCGTTGAAAAAGAAACCTACAAGAGCAGGCATCACAAATTAAAGCGGAGTCGGTCCAGTTGCGAGGACAGTCCCCCCTTTCTCCTTTATAGAGGGGAGCGATAAGGGCGCGTCCTTAATTTAAAAATGTTTAAGTATTAGAAATTGAACGAGTATTTATCCCTTACTATGTGCCAGACGCTGTTCTCATGGAGCTTACACTGTCCCAGCAACTTCTATTATCCCTGCTCTCAAGGAGTTGACATTCCAGTTAGGCGGGGAGAGTAACAAACTTGGGAACTTGGATTTATTTTCCAATTATCTTGCATCCCAACCCAGAATCTTGGGCTCGGCGGAGCTGACAAGGAACTCAAGGTCTGGAACCCCACAGCCCTAGCATGTCGAGTTCGGAGGCAGGGCCCAGCCCTTTCAGCACCAAGGACAGCGCCCACCGCGCGGCGCCTCCCGCCTCTTCAGTCTCCAGCGTTTGGCCCACCCGCCCGGCTCGCCCCCGCCCGCCTCCCTTCGGGCAGTAACTGACGTTTTTCCCAGTCGGCCGAGGTGATGGTGGTGGTGGTGTTTTTCGCCCCCTCCCCCCTCTCCATAAGAAATCGTACGGAGGGTGGTGTGGTCGTCTTTTGGCTCTTGGGAATCTATATTTTTGTTTGTGTTTTTCACTCCTCTTTTTGTCTTTTATTACTACCGAGGGGAGATGGTTTGGACAATGGGGGTGGAAAAATGATATCCTCTCAAGGGACTCGAACCGGAGGGGCGGGGTAGCCCAGAGGGAGTGGCATCCGCCCAGCTGTTTCGTTTCCATTCATTTGATCTAAGGTTTAGCGCTTTGAAGAAATGGGAACGCGACGCCCAGAGGCAGAAGGAGTGGGCGAGTGCGATCCCTCCGGACCCTCTCGGGGTGTGCAGCCCCGGCTACTCGGTCCTGTCCGCGAGCATAACCTTCCTTTAGGTCACCGTGGGCTTAACTTGGGAGCAGGACCATCCGCCCACAATGCCCTTTCCCCGGGAGGTTTAAAGATATTCCAACCGGATTTGGAGCCGAGCCTTTCAGCAAAGGAAAAAAGGAGTGGGTGGGAAGAGAGTAAGACGGAGAAGGGGCGCCCACACGGGCTGCGGGGGAGATTTTTATGCGTAAGATATGTCCACGTCAAGGTGAGTAAACAAGAAACGTCAATCTTGGTATGTGGGTTTTTTGTGTTTTTTGACGTATTTAGTATTTTTAGCCTCCAGGAAAGGTAATTTAGAGCCACGGTGTTGGTTCATTTCAGTGGTCTCTTCAAAGATCTATTTTAAGTATCTAATTTATGATACACACACACACACACACACACACACACACACACACAGAGGGAGAGAGAGAGAGAGAGAGAGAGAGAGAGAGAGAGAGAGAGAGAGCAGTGTTCACGCTTTAAAGGGTTCCCTCCTGAGACCAGGGCTGTGGGAAGCGTTGACACTCTGCTTTTCCTAGGTCGGAGCTGAGGTCTTCAATGTACTTGTGTACTTTAAAGATAATTTCCAAATCATTCTGGACTTTGGAGACCATAGCTAAGTCGCCACCCCTATCCCAAAGAGCCACACTACACTCACTCCTCAGAGACAGGGAAGGGTTAAAAGGGTGGCGAGGGAGGCAGAATTCCAGCCGGATGGCTGGAAAGGACTCCGGGAATTACAACTTTTCTCCTAGAGAGCTGAATTGCTCAGATAACAGTCAAATGGTCCCTTCCCCCTTGATATCCAGAAGATGAAAATATTCTAATGTTAAAGAAATTAACCAAGGAGGTCAGAGTGATTTGTATTAGGGCAAATCTTGTATAAATCTTGTTATTCCAAACATAAAGACAAAGGGACCACCAGGTGGCGATAGATTACAATTTCTGAGAAGACACAACCGGCCCCACTAGGGGGCAGTTCAAGGAAAACTGCTGGCCCTTTCCAGTTCACACTCATCCCCTGCCATATTTCACAAAGCAGGGCGGTTTGTTTTGTTTTAAATGCTGAGAGATGCTGCCGGAAGTGGCCTGAAACATCCGAAGTCTCTGTCCCTTTGGTGAAAGAGAAGGGATGCAGAGTATCTATTTCCCACAGAGCTGCTCCTCAAATAGAGGCTTAAGGAGGGAACATTCTGACATTTGGCACGGTGTTTCACTGCAAAATTGGAGACCAAGGAAATAACACATCTGGATTGCAATTCCTACAGAGTTTTTAGGATGTATCTATCTTTTCAATTCTTTGTTCAACAAAAACTAAGGCAAATTCAGTTCTTCCCCAAAGAGTGGGATGCAAGAGAGATGATTTCCCACGAGATGCTTCCAGTGAAATAGTATGAAGTGGGATACTAGGTATAGTAATATTTTATCAATTTCTTTCCATATAAAAACTCTTGAGCTATTTAAAATAACAGGTATTTAGCCCTTGTTTCAGACTTAGATATATGGAACTTTGTGAAAGTTCTGGGAGGTTCTGATTTAGTTTTGGAGAATCTGGTAACAAATTTCTATTTCAGATAGGGTTCATGCCCTCATTCTGGCCAGTTACTCAGGGGAGAAAATGGAACCTTAAAGGGAGGGGATTCTTCATCTTTGCTGCTCTAGTTCATTCCCCTTCATGTAAGAACTTACATTTAACCTCACTGGAATTTTTATTTATTTTTTAAATTTTATTATTAAAGTATTACAATAGTAGTACATATGTCTCCTTTTTTCCCCATTGACCTCTCCCCGGCCACCCTTACCCCCCTGGCACATGCCGTCACCCCCCCCCCCCCCCCCAGTGTCACTGGAATTTACCAAACCCAAGGTCCTCACCTGCATCATCTGAAATCCCCACCATGGGTTTCCAGGGCAGTCAGTCATCTGAAGCTCTTTCATTCCTACTCAGTCCCAAGGCTGAGGTCCTATTTTCTTTGCCTTTGGGTGAATCAGGATCCTTTAGATCTGCACAACCTGAAATCTCAAGCAGTCCCTAAATATCTTCTCACTA